GAACATTTCATTCACCACACGTGCAGGCATGAACATTTTGATGATGTAATAAACGATTATTGCAATAATGATATCTGGGAACCAGCAATAAACAGATACGCCTGATATAAGGACGTCGAAAAAAAAAACCAAACACTACCAAGCCTGCGCAAAAAAAAAATGCGAGGAAAAAACAGCAAAAAGGACTGACAGACACTTTGTAGCAACCATCTAAAGTACTTCTAGATCCAACAGTTGGAATTCACTATTATGCAGCAAAACTGATGGTACGCTGACGCACGAGTCACCTTTATACCGTATGTGAAAAGCTTCGAGTAACTCCCGCGCCAGCGCATCCCGGCTCCTTCCAAGTAGTCGCGTGCGATCGAACTGCGGCGTGCAGCCACACGAAGCACAGTGGAAGGGCAAATTAGACCCTGTTCCATTCCTAATTGATAAAGAATGCTCCCTTAAACGGTCATTTATACAGCGCCCTGTATGGCCTATATGAACCTTGCCACAGCTCAGGGGAATTTTATAAATAGTGCCCCGCGGCACAACGCAGGAAGGGCATTGCATGCTTCTTATCGCACACTGCCTTGGCACCTCTTGAAGAAATGCGGGCACAGAACCTTGAAAGCTTATTCGGAGAGAGAAAAACACCGGCACATGGTGCCGATTTGCAACCTTTTTTAGGTTGTGGGAGATTTTGTGCATGTATGGTATAGTATGCGGCCTTTTCCTTTGTCCTTGCAATGGCTCTGGCCTCCTGCGTTCCCCTTTCAGCCTCTGAAGCAATGTTTCAGACACACTGACTAAGACCGAATAAGGAAACCTGGCTGCAGTGAACCGCGATAACTGACAGAAAAAACTATCACACACTCTGTGTTGGCATTACTTGGACAGCGCAGAACGAAAACACATAACAGCTATAGACCTCTTCACCACTTTTGAATGTGCAGAATCATGAAAGAAGTCCTTTTCTCGTTCTAGGGCTGAACTTCCAACAGACATGAACCTCGCCCAGAGTCTCGTTCTTCCCATTGGCAACCTTGCTCCACGTATTTCATGATTTGATTGATATGTGGGGTTTAACGTCCCAAAACCACTATATGATTATGAGAGACGCCGTAGTGGAGGGCTCCGGAAATTTAGACCACCTGGGGTTCTTTAACGTGCACCCAAATCTGAGTACACGGGCTTACAACATTTCCGCCTCCATCGGAAATGCAGCCGCCGCAGCCGGGATTCGAACCCGCGCCCTGCGGGTCAGCAGCCGAGTACCTTAGCCACTAGACCACCGCGGCGGGGCGTATTTCAAGTGGGTACAGTAGGCGAGCGGTACGATTTCTCATAGCGTGGAAAAAAGTTGCCTAATTCTCAGCACCATGCAATGTTTTCCCGATTTTGTGAGATCTTCAAATCCGGAAATCAAGGAGCAGGCACAGCTGGCCATGTAGTAGATTAACCGAATTACTCGCAAACGTGAGGAAACAAGTGTAGATTTAAGGGCTAGTTATTTTGTTAGATGTTTCCTTGTTGTATGAGGAAGATGAAAAGAAGAACAGGAAAATGTTAGCCATTCCTTGTTTGTGGTTGATTGATTGATTGATTGATATGTGGGGTTTAACGTCCCAAAAACATCACATGTATGTGAGAGACGCCGCAGTGGAAGGCTGCAAAAAATTTGAACACATGGTTCTTTAACGCGCACCCAAATCTGAGCACATGGGCCTATAGCATTTCCACCTGCATCGGAAATGCAGCCGCCGCAGTTGGGATTCGATCCCGCCACCTGCGGGTCAGCAGCCGAGTACCTTAGCCACTAGACCACCGGGGCGGAACTTTGTTTTGAGGTAGAGTGTGCATACGCCAGGCGGGACGCTAAAAGAACCAGAAATGTCCGTCACATCAGCGGGAGAAGACTCCCCTGCTCGACTGCAGAGAGTGCGGTTGCTCGCCAGTTTTTATCGATATCCAGCAATGAAATGAATGTGAGAAAAAAACTTATGAAGGCATATATCAAATGGCACAATATGCGATAGGAAACTAATTGAAGTATATAAAATTCAAAGAAAAAAAAACATGGTCCTGATCCTCTACCTTCCTTAGGGTTATCACGAAAAGACGCAGGTCATCTTTTTAGAGAAATGTAGTGGCACGTGTTGGTTATTTATGTGATTGTCTTGTGTGCAATGTTTTCATCTATACTAACTGCATCACGTGTAGCACATGTTCGTCTTTGTGTTCTTTTCAAACCATATGTTGCTTCATTAAAAATACTGACGTCCAAGTTTGCGTGTTGAATCTTGTTGTGTGCGCGCATCCTTCAAGGCTGGGTTCGTCCCTCTTTCAAAAGATATGCCAGCAGGTTACCGCTATGAATCTTGTGAAACATATGCAAAGACAGTACAAAAAAACAAAAAAAACAGCATATCCAGGGAGTGAATGATGATTGGTGGGGTGTCACAGAACGAGCGCTCAAAAAAAAGGACGCGCCGCCAAAGTCTCGCGATGAAGCGCCAGAGTGACGCCGCGAGGTCAACGATAAAAAAAAAAAGAAAATGAAAACAAACATTCAAAGACCCCCGGGCGCACGCCACTCCCCTCGGAAGCGTGGCTTCGCCGACGAACCTCCTCACCCCACATCGGCGGCCGAGCAAGCACTCGAAATTTCTAGATGGAAAGGGGCGTGGCGAGGCCGGGTTGAGTCATCCATCGCGAACGGCCTTCGAGCCGTCTCGTCCTCTACCCAGCCTTCGCTGCGTATCGCGCCGACGAAATGACGAGAACTTTCTGGAATCTCACGCGGAGGGTATTTAATCGAGCAGCCGAGGTGAGAGATCAGGAGAAGACGGAAGTTAGCGCCAGAGCGCGTCGGGTATCCCGCCGTGTAGTCGGCGAAGGTTTTGTCCGTAGGGACAAAGCAGGAGAAGACGTGAGGTTTTCTGGAAGAGAAACTTCGGAGGAGAAGACGGAAGTTAGCGCCAGAGCGCGTAGGGATTCCGCCGTGTAGTCGGCGAAGGTTTTGTCCGTAGAGACAAAGCGGGAGAAGAAGATGATTTCCACCTGAGGGGTGACGACTCGAGCTACAGGCAAGAGTGTGTGTTTACCGCTATCGAGCGAAGACGCGTGGCAATAGCTGCGTGTGTGAAGCCGACGTGTTTCCGGCGAAGAAGTTTGAAGCTTGGAGAGTGGCCAATTGAAGACGCGAGGTTTCCTGGAAGAGAAACTTCGGCGAGGTTTCCTGTAAGAGAAACTTCGAGGGCCGCGGAACGACAACAACGCTGGACCTTGAGTGAGTGATTCTCGGAAGAGTATCATTTAGACTTTTGCTCAAAGAACTCTGGACTGAATAGGTTTCCTATCTCTTTAGTCTTTAAGTGTCTTGGTTGTTCAATGCATGCGACTGCATTGTAGTGCGTATTGTTGTCTGTGTCCGTTGTTTCGAGTGTGGCTGATTGTACTGTGTAGTACGTTGTTTGGTGTGTGACATATTGTATTCACTTATTGTGGAGTGTGCATACTTGTGTATTGTTTTTGATCTGCCATTATTGAGAATATAATTCTGTTTTGTTTATCAACTCTCGGCTCTGACTTGTTCTTTGGGCCACAGCCGGCGTCCGCTGGCGCGCCAAAAAGGACCACTTCTAAATTGTCCACGCTTTCGTGGTGCGGTTCGGGGGGCCGATACTTCGGTCCTTGGAATTAGCCCGTCGATCGCCTCCCTAATTAACGAGACCTGCGTGACATGGGGCGAAGCGTTTTTCAGTCCGTTCGTGCTTTCTTCTGCCCATTCGTTCTTGCTTCCATCCATCCGTCCGTCCGTGCGTCCACCCATGCATTCATGTCACCATTGGTGCATCCGTCCGTCCATGCGTCCCTTTGTAGTCCGTTCTTCCGTCTATCCGCCCGTGCGTCTGTTCGTGCGTCCGCTCCTTTGTCTGTCTGTGCGTCCATCAGCCCGTTCGTATGTTTATCTTGAACACTCCAGTACAGCGATCTCCTGTCTTTTCTTCATGTATTCAACATATACAAGTGCCGCCATCCAGCGGACATGTTAAGGACCGCTCTTTCGGGTATGTGCCACCGGTGGCTACATACACCATCGGAGGATGGACAGACCCGCACCCTAAAAAGCTTTGCCCTTAAAAAAAAAAAGCTGCATATTCGTGTAAGCAATAAACATATATTCAACATGCGTACCGCGTTGGACGGTGTTCTGATGCGTGTTCAATCCCAGCCGTGGTAATCGCTATTTGACGAACGCTAAACGGGTGGTCAAAACGTCCCTGAAAAATTAATAATATACTGTACACGACTTGAGAAAAGCCCCCCCCCCCCCCTCGCCCCATTTCAGTATGCATGCTCAAAAACAAAGCATTTACATTCTCTTCTAGTAATCTCATATGCCATATTTTGCAGTTAGTGCTAAAAGCTCTGAATTTCAGCTATTTAAGAAAAAAAAAAGACGCAGTTAAGAGCTTTTTGAAGTTGTCGTTTCGGTTTCGACGCCGCCGGGGCCGCCGCTGATTATTTTACCCGGCTGGCGCCGACGACGCCGCCGACTCAAAACGAGCCCCACGCCGCCGCCTGTGGAAACCAACGTTTCTAGTCTAGAAACGTTGGGCGGAAACCACCTCGGCGCACAGCTCTAGCCATAGAGTTTCTTAATATACACTCTATAGATCTATCGTCATGTCATACCAACTAGCCCAAGCTGCCACACTACTAAATGCACAGCGTTCCCATTTCTTCCTACGTTAGCGCGCTGTGAAAGTCACCAGCGAGGGAACTTGAAATTCATTTATGTACAATAAACACTCACACTGGTTCAAACAGCGCCTACTATTTAAAAAAACAAAACATAGAGGATGGTTTGCATTGCGTATTTTTTGTTCTCTTTCTAACTTTTTTCTGTTGGTGGATGGCTGGTGATATTTGATGGTGATGATAATGCACAAAGCTGTTGTTCCCCTGTTGACGTTGGCGCGAACTATATGCATAAACAGCTTCCCGTGACTCGTGAGGCGCGGCTTGAAACAACTTCGACGAGCCAGCGACATCCTGTATCATCAGCTGCCGCTGCGGTCCTCGTCGTCAGCGTCACACTTGCCGAGGCCCTCCTCCGAGCGCACGATGAACCGCGACATGGTTGACACGCGGCATCGGCGGTTGTCGCTTTGTAGTTAGTGTGACGGCGAAACCGTTGACAATGGCCTGTTGAAGTCGCCCGCACTGGAAGTCGTTCGCTGCCGTCGGCGCATCGGGTGAGTGCTCATTCACTCGGCATTCGCAGTAGAGCGTGAAAACTGTACTCCTCGCAACGTTTGACCTGTATATCACATCGGCCGCTTATTACATGATACAAGATGATCCGACTTTGTTCCTGGCTCGCGATCGATGAGCACATCGCGATTTCGTTTACGGCACTTGGTTGCGAGCGCGCAGCCACAGATCACTTACAAACTAGCGCTCTCAAAACTTTGGTAAATTGACCTGCAACTCTTCCTGAGGGGACGACAGAACGCGCGCACGTAGTCAATTGTCTCCTACGTACTGTGCGTTTGGTAGTTCTTTTTTTTTTGTCTGTTTGTTTGCGAGCGACGACAAGACGGGCCGCAAAAGCGACCGCTCATCACAACCTGTTGCGCCGTCCGAAGAGTCAAGCCACGTACGCAGGCGAACCAGACAATGCAGTTTCTTCTTTTCCCCATACCGCTTATTACAGTGTCGGCGGTTTTATTATGCTCGCCGAGCGCCGAAGTTGCGATGAAAGACGCGCAAGTTCCCAAGGATGCGTGTGTTTGGTTGTTTTTCGTTTTGTTGAATTCTCTACGTTCGAAGGGAAAAACGTTTGTAAGGAAATCCTGTTGTGCGTGTACGGTCCTACTACGACATGCGTGATGCTCATTCTGCTCGCGAAATCATAATTAATGGGCTTAAAAGACGCTGAATTCATTCGCTGTCCAATTGTTTACCAAGACGGTCAGCTTGAGAGGAGAAGGATTGGAATACGTCCAATTCTTTGTCGGTCACTCATAGGCATACAATGTAGCAGCTTGCTGTCTTGCTCTCTAGCAGCAGCTTGCGTTAGGAACAGTGTCTACACCTGATTGCTGTCTGCATGCGGCTATTCGGAATTAAGGTTAAAACACGTGTCTTCTCTTTGGCGTGAATAAGTTTTCCAATGGGCAAATTAAAAGAAAGTTTTGCCACAGATAAGCGACTGCCCAAGTGATCGGTGTTGTATCTACTGCTGTGCATTCACATATAATGTTTGAAGGTGGGTTTAATGAAGGATGTGCTCTGTAGAAGTGCAGCATGTAGAGGCAATGACCACGTTTGTTTGCCAAGCATAATGCAATATATCAGGCATATCTTTTGTAGGAGAAAGATCAGAAGGTCGTTTTGGATGCATTGGGTGCCTTCTGCTGCTTGCCTAAACGAGCCAATCACGATAGAGAAAATGTGGACTTATGTTGTACCTTATTGCATTCAAGGGTGGACTACTGTATGAAACATGATGTCTTACAAGTCCAAAACAAAGATAACACATTTTGCTTAAAGAAACACTGCTTTTTAATGCAAGTACAGATAAGTAACTTCTAAATAAAAGAAGTGCTTGTGTACCTTTGCATCCGTACATGTTCCGTGAACTCTGAAATCTTGTTCTTGGCCACTTGGTGGGCTCTTTACACCATATTTTTTTCAAAAACCTTCTGGCAAGTTGAGCATTTTCATAAAACAGATATGTTGTGTTTCTTGGTCGTGTTTCTTGGTCATGTGTTTCTTGATTTGTCAATTAGTTTGACCTTTCTTTCGTGATGCCTGCTACCGCATATGTTCGAATACCCTTCTAGGAAAAGCATTGGGTCTAGTACCATGTAAATGCGTGAACGAGTGCTAGTTTTCCAAGAACTGTGAGGTTTCATTTCTGAAAGTGCTTATGCATATTCTTCGTACCAGCCGCATTTCTGCAGAATTGATTATGCCACGCTTGTTGGACTTTTCTTGCAAGAAAAGCGCCTGTTGGGTTCGCCATTATTTTGAAAGAGAACACCTGTCAAGTACGTGAGTGATGTGTGGCGAGACCATGAATGCAGGTGTCGTTGGTTTAAAAGCTAAATTCTCAATATGAAACCGTCCGGCCGCCTGTATTCCACAAAGAAAACACACGCCAGCAAACATTTGTGGGGGGATCGTGTATTGGATGGAGTGGGTAATGCCAATGAAATGTTTCGAAGTGCTTTCCATGGGAATGCTTTCCTGTCACAGGTCTCTGCCTAGAAGCTTATTACGTTAGCTTTACTCAACAATCAGCCACAAAATGTGTAAGCTTGAAGATCTTGGTAGGTCTTTGCTACATGCATGTGCTAGCTAGCATAACTAAAATTTTCCGCTTGTGATTATTGTTTAAAAGCGCCATCATGGCTGCTCAAGTAGTCATCAGTACTGGTGTGCTAAGAAAAGGACTTCTTAAATTGCTAATAACAGATTTGTCTGCAAAGCCTGCTGCTGCTTCACACTTACGTTTTAAGCTGATTGCTTTATTGTCCCACTGCTTAAGGTATGGAAAACGTTTCCAATGTGTCGAACTTTCATCACTTCTTTCCGACAGCAATGACTGCATTGAAACTTGTGCATAGCGCAAGGAAGTAGATGCGTTAACAAGAGGGGGTAAGTGGGATAAGTCCAGACTTGCACCATTCATTCAACGATGTGCACTGCTAAGTAATATTAGCTGAGGAAGTGTTTTTTTTTTGTTTGGGCTTCATTGATTGAACCTAATTTTGCCAGCTTCTTTTTATTGCACATGCTTGCGAATGCCAAACCTAAAATTTTGTGCTAGACCTTAGCTGTATCTGCATGAAATAGTTTACAGTTGCCTCTACAAAAGCCTTTGCTGAATTATGGGTGCATGTATTTCAGTCCGATTAAGTGTTGACCAAAAGTAAGGAAAACAAAAATTGGTATTTGGAACATTGGATATTATTGTTGAAATTCACTTCCCTGTGTGACCGGCTAACCACACATCTCCATGCTAACCATGAATCTTGTAACATGATGGGTTCATAGCAGACTCACGCAGAGGTAATCTCGTTGCCAACCCCGATGTCGTATAATGCGAGAGTGCTATTCATTGGTTTGAGTTGCCGTTTTTCACATGCACGATGCTGAAACTGTCTATTGAGATCCCCCAAACTGTGTGCTAGGCTGGACAGGGGAATTGCCATTTCTGCTTATATTAAGCAAGCTTGGCTTCTTTCTTCACTAAGTTGCTATTTGCATTTTTCTCTTTTGGCATATTCACGAATTTCCTGCAAATATAGCTTTTTAGTGCTTGCCATGTTGACTAATAGTGTATTTGTGTATGAGTTAGTGTAATTTAGTGTTTAAGCAAGGCGTATCCCCTTGAGAGATAGTGTGTACGATTGTACACATCATATCTAGAGAGACGCTACGCACCGTGTGTTTATTCAAGTGGCTAGAAACGCGGTGCGTACATTCGTGAAGGCTTCTAGAGTGGACAAATACCGGTCACTTATCTTTTTTACGCTGCATAATGCTGCAGAGGATCACTTTGCTGGGGACATTACCATGTTTGTGCACCAGTTACAGGACCCACGTCAAGAGTATCTTTTTTCTTTACTTGAAATGAATGCAATAAAAAAAACTGTGCTGGCACTTGAATCTAATATTTCATTCTGTTTATGCAAAAATTGATGCCACCTGATGAAATAATAATGATACTTTTTCATATGCTAATCAACAATAATTACTGAAACTTATGCAAAACAAAACATTTCTTTAGTTTCTTCTTGGAATGTAATACTGAGTGCCTTGGAATCATGCCGTGCAAATTTGACACATTTGCAGACAGTGGATGGATCATGATTCGCATCTGAAGCGGATATGTTCGGTGGTTCTCAAACGGGGGTCCGTGAAGCCATTTCTATGATACGCGAAACCCTCGCCCGCATTTTTCTTTAAGCGTGACTGTGCCCTGTATTGATGAAATGTCCAAAATGAAGTGGTGTGGCACGTTTGCTTGATGTTTTTGGTAGCAATAAAAGGCACCTGTTTCACGCTCTAGTTGTGTTTTAATTTACCTACATACCCCCCCCCCCCCCCCATCCACCCTCCAGTCCGCTGCAAGGGGTCCCCGACACATCCATGGCTGAGAACCACTGTGACCACTGTGATCTGAGGAATCAGAAGTAACGTTATTCGTGCACTGTACAAAATAAAGTTACGTTCTTCACCTTCCCTACGAATTTGAGTGACTCTTTGTGGTAATGAAAAATATTTTTTAGAATGAAAAAGTTCTCTTCTTTTGGGCTTCCTTGTAAAACTTGCAGTGCTTTTTTTGGGGGGGGGGGGGGGGGGGGGCTTGCTTTGGGTGTATTTTTTTTTAGCTTGGTAGCCTGTGGTAACTCTACCAGACAACACCCGGCACATACCTAGTGTCCTAAGTAGATTGACCAATAGGAAAACCTTCATTCAACACTTTTTACTCTACCCTCAGGATATTCATTTTGAAATATTGGTCTGCATAAATTTGAAGCATACAAATTAGATTTGTAATTAACCAAGATTTCTTTTGAAAAAGACCTTCTGGAAGACCTTCACAATTAATGCATATTGTAATGATTCCTAGAGTGTGAGTTGTTCTTTGAAAGGCACAAGAGTCATAAGCGACCACTGTTGGGAATTTCAAGCAAAAAAAGAAAAAGGGCTACATCTTTGGAAATAAATGTAATGCTTTATTTAATCAACATTGTCTGTAAAAACTGGTGTTTAAGTTTTCATTAATGACAGCCCTCTTTTTTAAAAACATAATTGAACTGTTCTAGGCAATACGTATTCTGTAATATAGATTTCATTATGGGTCTTAATCCATGATTTCATACTGTACCAAATCATAAGGCTTCATAGGCTGTTTTTTGGTGCATAGACAGTCTGCATTTAAATTGTGACATCTGGGTTATTTTGGTTACTTTTTCAAAATACTGCATAAATGTAGTTCTCTCTAAGTGCTGTTGTATACTCGCAGCAGACGCAAGTAGAGTGTGGGATTAGTGTTCAATGTGGTCTTGTCGGCGACTATTGCTAAGCTGTGGCATAAAGCCCGGCCATCATCTACTTATTACTTTGAACAAAAATCCATTGTGTGAAGTAACCTGCTTATTTTCAGTAGTAGAAAAAAAATCTTAATTATGTCGTCTTTCTCGCCGATTATGTGTGTCACTTCAGGATGGCTGACAACCTTCTGTGCATTCAACAGAGGGCTAGGTTGTAGAGTTTGTTAGCCTGCAGCTATTTTTGGATTGCGCACAGGGATACAAAGCTGCAAGAAAATTGGGTCAAACTTTCACACACAATAGCAGTGCTGAAAGTACAGTTGAGTGTAAATCCGGCTGACAATGATAACAGGAAGAGCTAGGAATGAAGAACCTATTTCCAATTTGAACAAACTGGAGGCCTTGGCAGTGTTTCCTGTTCAACATTTATTTTTCATCTCTATGTCACCTCGGGTGCACGTTAAAGAACCCCAGGTGGTCGAAATTTCTGGAGCCCTCCACTACGGCGTCTCTCATAATCATATGGTGGTTTTGGGACGTTAAACCCGACATATCTATCAATCAAATCCATGTCACCTCCATCTTCTATTGACGGTCCTGGTCGATTAGTTTTTCGTGAGGAAATATAAACTGTGCCCTGTGATGCATGTGGGATCTGAACCTATGTTTTTGCGAAATGCGTACGGTGCTACTTCCAGTTCTGGTATCGCTATGCTGTTCTTTCTTTCCCGATGTTGAGTTCCGGGAATGCTAGCACCAAAGCTCGCAGCTACTGCGATAAATATAGACAGTTGTTTTTCACTGCAAGCGATATCTGGTGTGCAATCTTTGCAGACAGCTGCCCAGTCAATGCTTCTTTCGTTGCCTGAAGCGATCTGTGCTACAAGAGTCGTCACTCTTGCCATGCATAGAACAAGAAGAAAAGAACCTGAGGGGCAGAAATTTTGTTAGTCATCATCTTGTGAAATTATTACTGAAAGCATTGTGTTAATTATATTGTTTTTAAATGTAGAGATAGAAATGATAATGCAAAGGACAATGAAGTTGTGAGTTGGGAAGCTACCTGTGATTTTTTTGATTGATTGATATGTGGGGTTTAACGTCCCCAAAGGGTGCACGTTAAAGAACCCCAGGTGGTCTAAATTTCCGGAGCCCTCCACTACGGCGTCTCTCATAATCATATAGTGGTTTTGGAACGTTAAACCCCACATATCAACGTCCCCAAAACCACCATATGATTATGAGAGACGGCGTAGTGGAGGGCTCCGGAAATTCGGACCACCTGGGGTTCTTGAACGTGCACCCAAATCTGAGCTCACGGGCCTACAACATTTCCGTCTCCATCGGAAATGCAGCCGCCACAGCCGGGATTTGATCCCGTGACCTGCGGGTCAGCAGCCGAGTTCCTTAGCCACTAGACCACTGCGGCGGGGCACCTGTGATATTTTTTTAGGGGGGGGGGGGAGGGGCAACTTCATAATTTTTTTTTTACATTTCACTTATCAAAATTAATTTGCCCTGTGCCTTGTGTGGTTTCACATTCTGTTGGCTTGGTAGCTGCTGCTTTGTGCTGCAAGCAATGTTTCAACCTCGAACGATGACAGTGCGTGACTCGAGGATCAACACAGAGATAGAAGCACTCGGAAAGTCTTCGAAAGAAATTCTTATAGCTGCTTAATGCTCTTGTGATGGATTGCAGCTGCCGCAGCAAGACATCTGCTCACTTATGTCATAAACACAGAGTTACTATAAGACTGCAGCAGCCTAATACAATTTTATCCAACAAAATTTGCATCCCTCAGTTGCTCTTTCTGTCTTTGACTGTCATTGAAAAAGAATGAACTAACTAGCCGTTATTGAAGCACAGCTACCTTTTTTTTTTGACTCATTATCTTTTCTCAAAGATAGTGCTATAACCAGCAGCTGCACAGCCAAATGCATGACAGGTCTGTCAGCAGATTATGTGGGACAGGTGTCACAAAGGTCGCAGCTGTCGAGGGCTGCAGCTGTTGAACTGTGTCGCGTGGCACGTGGAACGGTGGCCACGTTGCTTGACGGGTTGAAGCTGAAGCTACGCAAATTATGTTTACTTGCCATTGATATATATTTTGCTTTCGTGGGCCCCATATTTGATGTTGCATAAGGTGGGAGCATGATTAAGTTACGACATTTGCATGTTGACATAAATGACAAGAATAATGCATTAGCAATAATACAAAATAATTTATACATTTGAAACATTTACATGGAGCATGATATAAAAATAAAAGATATTTGCATTAACAAGTCTTGATAACGTATACAGAAATGCATTAACATAAATCGTTATTGTGGTGTTAACATTCGTTGATAACACTACACTAAAACAAGTAAATAGATTGGGAATACTTAGTACACAATGTGGCAAGTTCGAAGCTTTCCAAGCAGTGAAGGATTCCATTTATCAACTATTCATTCAGGTAGTATATTTCATTCTCGTACGGTTGAATGCATTGGTAGTAAGTACTGTGTGGATGTTGGATGTTTGGAGATATGAAAAGGTTCCTATGCTGCATCAGAAAAAGAAGTATCAACTGAAAAAAAAAAAAACAAAACAAAAAAAAAACGTGATGAACAAGGAGACACATTGAAGCGAAAAAAAACATCAGTGGTGCTTGAGAAAAAGGGAGATGAGAATATTAGTTTGAAATGAAATGGGTTTTTCTGGCATTCTGATTGTGCTGAAAATCTGTAAGTATAGTGAGATACTCATGTAATAATTTAACTAACCAGTATGCTGATAGGGTAACTCGAGTGATTTGAGCAAAAAAGCGAAGTACTGTTAAAGTTGTGAATGATTCAATGAAGTAGGGCGAGTATAAAGCTGTGTGGTACTTGGTTTGGGCCATTGAGCTTCGAGCTTAATATTTTGGCTGTGTTTGGAATAACCCCTTAGGTAAATAACCTTGCAGCTGGGCAGTTGTCCCATTAGCAGCACAGGTGTCCCCATATTATGAACTGCTGTTAATGAAGTGAAGCTGTCATTTCATTAGTAAGTGAAGTGTAATTGTGTTTCACGACAGTGACACTGTTTGACGATGGCTAATGGCAAACATTTGTCTTGCATCTCTTGTTGCGTGCAGCCTTAGGTGAGCAGGTGGATGACGGCAGGAGACATGGCGTGGTCTTCTTCCCTGAAGAACACCATCAACCTAGGCAACAGCATCATAGGGGTCAGCATACTCGCCATGCCCTATTGCTTCGAGAAGGCAAGTGCACAGCTACATCTACTATGAATATTAAGCGCTGACAGTGCGCTGGGTAACACAGCACAAGGAGAGTACCAGAACAGTCTATGGGCATTAAACCTGTGAACATGTCAGCTACGTTCAATATGATGACTGGAAATTGAGATCCTGTTGGGAATTGTTATAATAGTAATTTCTGTTTTAATCCTTGCAAAATTAAAACAGGATTACTAGATTTCTCGAACTAGAGCACAAGATTAGAGAGATATAGTGCACAGCAGTACTAAAAGGAGAACATTTATTGTGCATTGAACGTAACACGGCTAGCTAAACTGCATTACGGATATAGCACACGGAAGAACATTTTGAGGAACTGATGAAGTTCGACTCGCCGTACGGGTATATTGAGTAAAACGTGCTTGTTTTGGGGGCCAGATATCTATTCATTTGCATTCATGGGGGAAGTCTCGTGAAGGAAGACACACTCAAGGGAATGGAAGGGGGTTAGTGTGTGTGTCCCACAGAATTAGACTGCAGGCAATCTCGACCTAAAGCCAAACAGGGAGAAAAAAATTTTGTACAAAAGTAACCACCTTACTGAGAGGCATTGTCTCAGGCGCACTGGTGCCATTTCTCGCCGTATTGCGGCGGTGTGTATCATCGCTGGAGCACTAGCACAATCTCTTTATGGCACATCCAAGCCAACCTTGTCATGCCAAGTGCCATCAGAGGGGAAACCAAGCTCCAGAAGTGAAACTTACGCGATAAGAACAACATTAGGGTCACGAGGGAAACGTTGGTGCAGTTGAGCGCTCCTGAATGCATAACGAGTGCTCCACTACGACTGCTCCACTACGTGCCTGAGCAGCACGTAGTGGAGTTTTATAGGTGCAGTGCCACAATTAGGCATTGTGCAGAAGGGAGGCTTTTAAGCTGACGCTTTCAGTGACGAGTGTCTCTCTCTCATGCAGTGTGGCATAGTGCTGAGCTCGCTTCTCCTGCTAGTCAGTGGTCTGCTGACACGCATGACCTGCCATCTGCTCCTCAAGTCCGCCATCACGGCCAGGCGTCGAAACTATGAGTTCCTAGGTGAGAAGACCTCGACTTTACCGTCGTATTGTGTTGGGATATCTAATATTGCTTAAAATGCATTTTTTTTATTGTACAAAGCAGTGCTACATTGCTGGGTGTTTTGAGCTCCTGAACCTGGCTGAGCTATGTACGGCACTCATAAATTGAGTGAAGTCATCTAAGCCTCATAATGTGCACACTCTCGTGTTTGCCATGCTCAGTCAGTGTCATATCAATGTAACTTGGGCTCGAAAACCTCCATCAAAGCCAATAATACCTTTAGCAGCTAGATTGGCAGTGACATGATGTGGCTGTAGTGAGTATCTTGCACATCACTCGTTATCGTGAAAGTTTCATTTTCTGTTTCAATTTGTGAAGCACTGTGCACCAGAAATGCTGGTTTGTTGGATGCAACAAAATTTCTCTGTGGAGAAAATCAGCCATGTATCACTGTAGCATTGCAACAAATTAATGTTGGCAAAACCATTAATTGATCAGTCTAATGGATAGATGTTGATTAAATGTTAATCTAGCTGTTAGATCACTAATCCAGCTGTAAACAGAGATATTAACTGAAAATTTTAAACTATTGTAGGACCTGAGCAACAGTGGGAGTACCTGTTATTTAGCAGGTATCCAAAAACTAGCATGCTTTCCCTAATATTACTTTTGTGCCCGGTGTAGCCACTTGGATTTTATAGCTCATGCCAATTAGCAATCCTTGACATTGTTAATATAATGTCAAAATACAAAAGTGGGATTGCTGAAGCCACAAAAGTTTGAGAGGCAGTCCCTGACTACTGGACACACTGAAGTGTTGTGAAGCGTAATGGTCGGAAAGAATTTTACATACAGAAGATAATAAAAATCACAGCGTATCCACGGAGTGAATGATGATTGGTGGGGCGAAGCGTTTGTCAGTTTGTTCGTGCTTTTGTCCGTCCATTCATGCATCTGTCCATGTGTCCGTCCATCTGTGTGACCGTCTATGCGTCCACCCGTTCTTCCGTCTGCCCATTGGTTCGTCTGTCAGTCTGTTCGTCCATCCCTCCGTCCGCTCCTCTGTCTGTCTGTCCGTCTGTGCATGTCAGTCTGTCCATCTGTATGTCCCTCCATCCGTCTATCTAGTGAACACTCGCAAGTACAGCCATCAAACATCTTTTCATCATGTATTCATTATATATTAAGTGCCGCCATCCAGCGGACATTCTAAAGACCGCTCGTTCAAGTATGTGCCACCGGTGGTTATGCACTATAACGAGGGACGCACAAGCCACGCCATAAGGAGCTTCGCCCCTAAAACGATTTGTAGAGGGCCAGTTACAACATATCAGAGTATGAATAAGTGTGTAAAAGTGGAGATGGGACAATAAAGAGCACACAGACATGGCTCTTGTCTAAATAGGCGAGAACATGCAGAACTTTTGGGAGGAACTTTTTCTTGCGCTAGGTTGTGCACGTTTAATTGAGGGAATGAGGCGCCAACGAGGTGAATCCGAGAAGTGACACAGACAAACGTCCGTTAGTGACTTGTAGTCGTTAGTAGTCATTTGTTAATGGTCACTTCCTGTGTTCATCTCGTTGGCACCTTATTCCTTCCATTATACAGCGCTTTTTCTCTGTGTTCTCTATCTGTTCTCTATCCCCCCATTTTCATGCAATGTTCAACAAACAGTGCACAAAATGAAGAAGTTTTGTCAAGTTGTTTCAACCCTTCAATGGTGAGACACGTGAATGCTGATCATTAAAAAAGCATGGTCAACATTTTTTTTTATTGATGCAACAGTCAACCATCTCGTTATGGTGTCTGCCCATTTATGAGCAGGATGCGGGAACTGTTTGAAATATGGCATGGTTTTGACTAAACATATCCATGACCTGCGACATGATGTAAATATGTATCACCATGACAGCCTTCAGAAAGTTGTTGAACATGTACTGAGAGCACTAATGTCTCATCTTTTTAATCTGTCTCTCTCACTACCCTTTTCCTTTTGCTCCAGTGCAGTGTTGCCAGTTGAACTGCTGTCTGGTTAACCTCTCTGCTTTTCTCCCTTTTTTTCATTCCTTCCTTCCTCCTTAGTTACGTATTAACATAGTTATTTTTCTCGACTAATCATGAAACGCCCTTGCAGCTTTTCACACATTTGGACCAACCGGCAAGCTGGTCGTCGAAATTGGGTGAGTGTTGCGGCTTGTGGTTGTGGCTTCGTCATTGTACATGCAGTGATCGGCTTGCAACTCTGCTCTAACTTGGCCTTCCATGAAACAAGCTTGACCGGTGTGTCTCTGGTGTCTCTGGGACTGAAAAAAATATGGCAAATTTTCTTGCGGGGAACTGTCATTGTTTGCAAATTGCCTAATAACAGGAGGCAAAGGCATAGTGAATGACTTGTTTTATTTTAGACACTCAATACTGAAATATTAGTTATAACAAAGTAAATGAAAAAATAGTCTTGGAATAGGTACAGTGTTAGGAATAACTTTTAAATGAATTTTTGGATATAACAAACTTATTTTCTTGTAACATGAAACTTTTTTATAACGAGATCTGAGTGTATTACATTCGTATCGGAGAAAATAGCTAATGCTAGTCAAGACTAGCCAGTGGTGGTGTAATGGGAGCAAATGCTGCCAGTTGTACAGAAATTGCTATACAGTCTTTTCAAAAATATTAATTATCATTCTGCGGCATATGTCATCCTGACATCACATCATTATAAAATCATTTCTCCTCCATTTTTATTTTGGAAGATAATTTTTTATGCTTAAATTTAAATTCTGTCTCATAGCCCAGGTAAATTTTTGGAAACTGATTAGCAGGTAATAATTTCATCTTTTCATTTATTCCGACCTAAAACAATTTAAAGAGGTTGGGTTGTAGTTATTGAATCTGTATATCTAGCTTGAGGTTAGTCAAGATTCATTCAGATGTATTTTTGAAAATGCGGATTAGCTTCAAAAAGGGATAGTGATGGAAACAAAAAATATTTTTACAAACACTACAGCACTTACAAGCTACCATAACCCATTTATTGCACTGTGGCACTACTGTTTTGAATGTTCCCTACTTTAATAATGTTCTCAGGTGGTCGAAATTTCAGGAGCCCTCCACTACGGCGTCCATTCACCATAATCATATGAGCACCATAATCGGCGTCCATTCACCATAATCAATGAGCATCATAATCCTATGGTGGTTTTGGGACTTAGACACGCATGACCACATATCAATCAATTACTTTAATAATGTTAGCACACATATTTCTACATTCGTACGAGCAACAGATTCATGTAAATAATGCTGTTATATTGTTCTGAATATGAAAACTAAAGTTGTGTTATCAGTCAAGAAATAAAGTAATGAAAGATGAGCTACTAATAGGTTGTAATACGTGATATTGCAGTGACTCTTTTTGGCTAGTATCAGGATACATCTGAATATCTGAATTATTTGTCTCCGTTTCATTGTGGCTAATGATGTGGCAGACGCAGACAAAATTCAAAGAAAGTAGATGCAACATGGCACTGACTATCAACTAAAGTGTATTTTTTTTGAACCATACATATATGTGTGGTTCAACCAATAAACTTCACTGCTATGTTGCGACAATATACGCTCAAACTTCACTGTGACAAAGTCACACCTGCCACAAAAATACCTCGTTATATCCTAAAATTTGTAAGGTCGCCTGTCGTTAATTCAAACTAGAAGGGACCTCTGAGTTTTGTTTGAATTATCAAGAAGTTTGAATTATGAGAAGTTCCCAGATATATGACTCTGGGCAAGGTGACACATTGTTTTTATCACCTTAAAATTTTTTTGAAGCACTTTTAAATTTTAACTGCACTAAATAAACAAAAATCAGAGGCGTAAAGTCCAGAAGTTTATTGGCGAATTACTGCTGATCAGACCTTTTAATGAAATTGTGAATGGCCAACTGCTTCTTTGCTATATATGCCTTCAGCACGAAGCTGTCTATACCAGTTGAGAAGCATCATGATTTACCATGCGTGTGCTTAGTTTGAAACATTTGTTTACTACCAAAGCCTTTTTCCTTGAAGACCTGAGGCACTTATTTTTAATTTCTAGACTGTTAAGATTATTCAAGCATGCAAATTTTCAAATACTAGTAGTTGGAAAGCAGCAGATGTTTTCTGGTATGTAACCGCAAAAAGTATAATTTAACCAAATGACGGAGTTTGAAGTAAGAGGATTTTAAATACATTGAAAGAATAGGGGATCAGCCAACAAATAGAATTCTGTTTGAATTAACCAACTATGAATTATCAGAGTTTGAATTATCACTAGTGTACTGTACTTGTAGCACTGTATCTATGACAGAGCTTTTCTTCATTTACTTTGTTATAACCCATAATTCCTTATATCTGGGTTTGTTATACAGCTAAACCTAAATATAACAAAGTTGAGAAGTGCCCAAAAAAATTTATTGATAAAGTGGATTTTCTTACATGCAGGTTTGGTATGAAAATTGGAAAAAAATAGATGCAAATTTAAACAAAATGGGAACTGAAGGCAGAGGTCACTCAGAATGCTAATGAAGCGATCAAAACTTGTTGAAACTATATGGAGACCCTCGACGGGTTTTTGCCATCGCTGCCAAGTTCCGTAGGAAGTTCACACCGATAACATGCCACGGTTCTCTCCACTATTTAGAGTCGAGAGAACCGTGTGAGCGCTGCTCAAGCAGTGATCGAATGAGCCGGCCCACTTTCTACCACCTGGAGGGTGCATAAGATAATATACACCGCATGTTAGAACTTCCGTGGAATGCCCAAAAAGCGCCAGTCCTGAACGAGCATGAAAAAACATGGGGGGGGGGTTGCTCAAGTAGCAGCAGTGAACTTTAAGGGCGTGGTCGGGATCGACGCATGCTATCTCAGCAAGCATCAGTCCGTTTTCATCGCGAAAAGATTCTGTGAAATGAGCACTTCTACCTGGAGCGGCCGTACCTGCTTACGCCGGTGTTTTGTTGGAGTTCCGCGATATCGTATCCAAAAGAGCCGGCTGCCAGCCTTATTTTGTATAACCAACGCCTCCTTTATTTTATCAATGCCAGCCAGATGTGCCCAACCCAGCCCTTTACCACCCTCTCCTCTTGCCGTTTCCTTTTGTTGCCCATCGCCCAGCTAATAGCCAGCTCTCGGCCGCATTTGTTTTATTCACCTTTTCTCTGTATTTGTCATGCTGTTTATCCACTATGAATCTATACCATCATAATTATTTTACAGTGCAACGAGTAACATACGGGCAGAGAAGAGACACGGTGTTCTGTTTATCTGTCCGTATCTACCCCATTGTGCTGTAAAATATTCTACGATGAACATCCACCAACTTATCGAACTCGCCATTCTGCTTGAACCTGTACCAACTCACCTGGTGTCCCATGTTATCGTCTTTGTGGCTCGCCACTGCTTCTCCTAGCATCCTGGGGTTTCTGCTGGGCAGCTGCGTGGCCTTCTTTGTGGTGATGGGGGACCTGGCCCCTCCCCTGGCATCGGACTTCTTCCTGCTCGAGGCCTCCCCTCGGCTGCGTCTGACCGTGCTGCTGCTGCTGGGCACTTGCGTCGGGCTGCCCCTGGGCCTGCTTCGTAACCTGGACAGCCTGACCTCCTTGTCCGCCCTCTCGCTGGGATTCTACTGCCTGCTCGTGCTTAAGGTAATCGCTCCCCTCTGCAATGACTCTAACAACCGTACTACACTTTCGTTCACTCGGAAAGATTTTTCAAGTTTTTTTTAGATTTTAAAATTCATGATTGATTTCAATGAAACTTGTGCATATGCATATTTGTGTTCTAGTTGGAAATATGCCATTATTTTTCAACCATAGTTTGTAGTTTCTAAAATATAAATTATTGCTTCGGGCAGCAAGATATTTACTACAATGAGAAAGCTACAGTGTAAATCAGCGTATCTAAATAATTTGGAATTGCAGGTTTTTCTAGTAAAACAAAGATGGACCTGCAAAGTCTACTTAAACAAAGGTTATGCTGTGTTGGACCTTTGTATGCGAGTTGACATCAAGTCGCAATTTTGCTTGCAGATGAAAGGTGCAGGTGCCACATTTCTAGCTCAAAAGTGTTTTATGCTGGGGTCCACCGCAGCTCTGCTAATGTACTTCTGTCGCGGATATGACGTTGTAAAATCAATTCTTATAGGTTACAAAGAAAAAAACTTCCATTGTGGGGTGTCGAACCAGCGACCTTTCAATTTGCACGCGGCACTAATCGCTTGGCAACAGAACGTACAATGTCAGCGATGTCAATGCCAAGCCATTTATATAAATCATGGACCATTGGCGGTCCTCAGAGTTCGGCATTTTCAGCAAGTTCTTGTCATAAGTAGCCAGGCGACACGAGAAGTGTGCATTGGGTGCACTCGCTCAAAAGATTATAATCCTGCACCACCACACCCGTTGTTATGTGCGCGCGCCTTGACATGGCCTGGTCAAAGTGCGCATGCTATCTATCATGGTCACTCACTAGCACGCGCGCTTATCTCGAAATTCGGGTGCTTTGTACCCTTGTGCTTCCCCCGCAAGTTTACTTTGAAGTTACAGTGGTTAAAAAAAAAGCGTGAAGGTCACTTTGCTCGCTGCTGCACCCTTTTATGAAGGGAGCATGCTTCTCATACATTAAGAAGTAAGAATTGTAAGAATCCGTTTTGGGCGTCTTTCTGCTTGAGCAGCATCCTTTAATTGTAAAGCTGTGCCAGTTGGTTGTCTGCGCTCGTCCTGCATATGCTCGTTTCATGCGGGCTTTCTGCTTGAGGTACGCGCGGCAAGTTTCGAGCTACTTGCCATTCCTTGCATGAATTGCAATTTATTGCTGTAGAATTCATTCCTTCCTTCGCCCTGGTAGCGAAACCATGCACAATAAACCGTCAACTACCTCTGTGAAGACTCGTTTCGCTATTGTGTTATACCGATTTCTTTAGAGAGGGATCAGCTGCGTTTTTCATGTGTAATCCGCGCCCTAAACCATAGTTTGTGGAAAATTTTCTAAAGATGGTTTCCCCACATTACTGCGAAACTAATTTCTTTGCATAGTTGGGAAGAACTGCCTTGAAGCCACCATCGCACGCTTGAATTAGGGTTTTTCGGGGGGGGGGGGGGGGGGGGGCAGGGGGGGCGGTTGATTTTAGCTTCTAACTTTAAAAAATTTTTGTATGAGTAAAACAAAGTATAGTGCATTTCAAACGGCAGAATTTCACATATATCGCTGCCATGCTGGCGTAGCACGTCAGTGAAAATCCTTCTCAGCTGGCACGTGGTGATGACGCAGGTGTTTGTAGAGAGCTTCCCGGTGTTGTGGTCTGGTGCTTGGTGGGACCGGGTGGTGTTGTGGCGGCATGAGAACCTGCTGTCAGTATTGCCCATCTTTGCCATGGCTCTCTCCTGTCAGCCGTGAGTAGTACCTCCAGTTCGTCCATTGTCCCATTTCATCTCTTTCGGCGGGTAATTCTAGCATTAAATAAACACAGTGGACTGCGAGGATGAGAAAGGACCACTCAGGTAGGACTGTCAATGAAAGTATCTGCTTCACTGTGTAGCTTTAACAACTAAAGAGAAAAAAACATATTATGTCAAAGTGAAAGGCCAATGGTTGAGAACCTCTAAAGCGTTAATACAGTTGAACCCCTTTATAACTCCAAGATGTTGCGAAAAGAGATCGTTATATCGGAAGTTCGTTCTATATGAACTCGCCCTTAGAAATGTGCACTTAGCGACTTAAGCTTTTTTTTTCTGCTCATTTTTATTGAAACGTGTCTACAAACCCTGCATTGATAACTTAGGCCATTTCCCATATTGACAACTGCTGTGTCCTCACGAGTGATTTGAAACTGTATGCAATGAACTGACGTTTCACCGAACCGCTGTACCACTATGTGGAACCGATCATTCCTTGGTAGTTGCGCGCAGTACAGGGTTTACACAGCGCACGGCAACATTTCAGGGCTGTTGGCTGCCTACTATTTGAACGCCCTTGTGCGTTCTTCGAGCTTGCTACACTCCCAAACGTGCACGGGTGGTGTTAGTGCCCTGTTCATTTAACGTGACGAAGACAAATATTTTGCAAGCACTGCGTGACCGTTCTCGCACAATGCAGTGGCAGTGAACTTGCGAGCAGCAGCATGGCGTACTTGTACTGTCGTTATTGTGCACGATTCATTCCTCTCGCAAACTGAGCTGCAGATGGTTGTGATAAGGTCGCCATCAATTAATTGTAATGACACGTTCATTGTTGGCCACCACTTTGCCTTCTCTATTTTCTGATTCTTATTCGTGAATGCATCGCCGCAATCACACAAAAGTAGTTATTGATTGACCGGTTTTTGGCGACAAATGGAAGGCCTATTGCGGCACATTGTGGCGTCGGTGAGTTGAGGGTCGTAGTGAAATGTTATACAATGAAAAGGTATATATATAGCTTCTTGCACGTTCCAAGGCATTATTTGCTTCATCCTAGGTTGTTGTAGAGGCAGAAAAGGGCATCGGAAAAGGATACTATGTGAAAGTTGACTGCGAGTCTTCGTGCTGCGCCTCATATTATTTTTTTATGACTGCCATTCAGCCACTGAAGAAACAGCTTAAAATGAGTGACCGCTTTACACGTGGAAGTAGTTTTGATTGGGAGCATAGAAAAACAATTAGTGCACCAAAGTACGGCCTTTATGACAGATAGATTATTACATCAGGGATCGTTATAAGTGGGTGTGAATGTATTATGCAAAAAAAGTGCTTGCTAATAGAGAAAGTTACATAAGCACTAAAAGGCACAGTTTCTGGGACTTTCTGAAACAAGAACCCGATGACAGAATGTCCTCAGTACTGTTTATTAACCCAATCTCACTGCATGCACCAAAGCATGTCTGAAATTTCGCACTTTCACTGATGACTCGTCAAGCTGGGGTGTGCTGTCAAGTTTGTAGTCTGGCAGAGAACATCATTTGGCGCCGCTACAGGGTTTCTGTTTCTTGTAGGCAACTCTTCGAAATTTTTGATACGGTGAGCGAGCCGTCTTTGAAACGCATGAACTCTGTCGTCAACGGTGCCATCCAGATGTGCTCCATGGTCTACATCATGGTAAGTATTCTAGCTTCATTCTTTTACTCTGCACGGTATGTGTCTGAATGGACAAAAGTATCATCTGATACGCGAAGATGGCGTTGAGTTTTGTCTTTCATTTTGTTATAATTGTACCATAAAGCTTTGGATCTGTTAATAAGATGCATACTGATCTCGGTAAAGTTTTCAACGTATGTTTGCTTATGTAGTATGATTATGTGTACCAATAATATGTCTGCAAGTCATTTAGATTTTCTGAAAGCGAGTTTTCTAGGTTGGTAGCCGAACATGCACCATAGTTACACTATATTTATGATTGTAATGCGAGGGGTGACTTCCAGAAAAATATAAGTATACATATTCCGGTTTGGACGGTATGTACTGGGCTGGTAGTTGAGGAGGTGATGCACACAAGTCTAGATTACGCTTTCACGTTCTCCTCTTGAGGTGCAGCTTGAGCGTTTCTCATGTTCTTCGCTACCTTCCTGATGCATTCTTCTGTGTACTGAAAAGAACGCGGTCACTTCCTGTACTGAATGGTGTGCAGATGGGCTTCTTTGGGTACGTGGCCTTCTGTGGGGGCGGGGCTCCCCTGCCGGGCAACGTGCTCATCCGGCTGGGCTCTTCCCTCGCTTCGGAGTTCATCAAGCTGGGCTTCGTGGCCACCTTGGTGGTCTCCTTCCCGCTCTGCCTGTTTCCCTGCCGCACCAGCCTGCACTCACTGCTCTTCAAGCGGGTGAGTCTTGCCGACGACGCCGTGTCCATCTTTCGTAAGTGCGAATGTGCTAGAAGGGAGTCTAATCAAACATGGTATTATATCCAAATAAGTACTGCTTTTTCAAGTTGCTGCTTTATTTTTCTTTAGTTCTTGTGGTATTAAGGCTTTCCTGTATCGAGCAGCGCCCGGTTTCTTTCAGAATTTGCAAACCACAGTGTGCGTTTTGTGTATAGAATAGTTAAACTGTTAAACTAGTGTCCGGCTAATAATCTTAATGAATCTCCCTCTGCAGTGCTATTGTATTGATAGAGGAGTGTTCAGTGCGCAAGTTCTGAAAGGGCTACAGCCTGTTGAAAAATTAAGTGTTGTTGGTTATCGTTCTATGCCTTTTTTTCTTTCTTTAAACTGCATCTCCTCATGAGTGAATTGAAACTGTATGCAGTGAACTGACGCCGTTTCACCCAACTGCTGTTCCGCTATGTGGAACCGATCATCCCTTAGTAGTTGCGCGCAGTACAGCGTTTTCACAGTAGAGTTGCGGCACGGCAACCAAGCGGTTGCCGTGCAGCAAGCTTAGTTAGAGGGGTCCGCCACCAATGCATAAAATGCTCATCCACATTTCCGAGTAGCTGGCGGGTGGTGCAATTCATTGCATGCAATGAAGCACCCTGCATTTTCATCGCTTTTGCATGACCAGGGTCTTTGTGCTCTTGAATTTTTCAGTGCTATGTTGCTTGGGCTCGCAATTACTTTTTTTGGTGGCTTCTAAAATTATTGCCTGATATTTTACTTTTGCTGCGCTAGCTCACATGAAACTTAAAATAATTTTACTTAAAAACAAACTTTTTTTACTACTCCTCTCTGTTATGTCTGTTGACCCTGAAGGTAAATAAATATAAATAGATGAAGTGCTACGATAGAACGCTTTGAAGCATCGTGGACGTGGACGAATGTGGGGATTGAAGTAGGCTGTATGATTAATAACCATTTACATGAAATAATAACCTGAATAACTTGAGTGTTCGCTTGGGTGGTTCCTGCGAACACTCATGCCACCTGCCAGGAGCACAGTTCAATCTACTTAGGGGACTGAAACTGGTTATAAAGTTGGCACCGACCATTAACACCTTATCTCTCTGTGTTTCTGTTGCCATGCATCACGCCAGATTAGCTTTAATGCGCTGGTTGCGACAGCACAGAGATAAACATCAGCAGACGTCATTGATTGGGCATAAATGCCAGTTTCAAATTACGGTATCACCACTGCCATCACTCGTGTCTGAAAGCTACTCACTGAGTTGCAAATACAAAAATGAAAACATCTACGGTAGACCCCGGAGTTCGAAACTCCACATCTACCCGCCACGGTGGTCTAGTGGCTAAGGCACTTGGCTGCTGACTTGCTGGTCGCTGGGTCGAATCCCGGTCGCAGGAACCTAATTTTATATGGAGGCGGGAATGCTTAAGGCCCATGTGCTTAGGTTTAGGTGCAGATTAAAAAACACCAGGTGGTCAAAATTTTTGAAACCCTTCACTACGGCGCCTCTTATAATCGTATGGTGGTTTTGGGACTTTAAACCCCAACAGTTATAATTAATAAAAATTCCACATCTGCATCACACATCTATAAGAGCCTTTTAAGAATTGAATCTTAAGAAGAAAGTCTAGAAAAATTTAGAGTGCAATAGGACATTTCCCTTCAGAATGAAGTGAATGCCAACTGCATTTTATCATACATAAAAATCATGTTACTGCTCATTCAGTCTCTATCTAAATCAATACCGTGTTTTATGTTGAGCCATTTCATGTTAAAAAAAAAATGGGAAAGAGCCTTTAAGCATTCTGTAAGTTTTCTATCTCTTTTTTTCTTTTCACTTTCCGATCTTTGAGAGAGTGCACCCAGGGATTTAATATAGAAACTAACCACACCATGTTGCCATGTAACGTCCCACATCACGTGACATTGCGTTTGCGCTCTCGTAATAACGCCCAGTGTCGTCGTCCTGCGCAGGCCAACAGCTCTCGTGTGTGTCTGAGCCCAAGTGCCCCAGAGTACGAAACTATGTTGGCCCCGGTCTCTCCCGGGGAACAGGCAAGTGTCGGGCTTGTCAAGTGATTAGGGAGTCGTAGCGCCCTCTCGCAAAAGTGCAGCACCGCGCTGCTCGTAGCAGTGCACTCATTACGCTCTCTGCACCACCTAACACTGGAAAGTCACTCGCAGGAGCACTGCAGTAGAAGGAGACTTGCTCAACTGAGTCTACATGCCCTTGTGATGGCGTCGCTGGGCAGCTAGGATATTGCGATGATTGCGACAGCTGTATTGTGTGGTAAAACAGACTTCCTAAGTTTTTGGAAGCTGGGAGATCATGGAACAGTATCAGAGTAGTGTCAGATGCGAAAAAAAAAGTAGACTTAACAAATAAGTTTAAGTCATTTTGATGTCAAGTAGGCAATGATCACAATATTAATGAGAACTGACTGACAATCATGCCAAGAGAAGTAGAGGGGATGTTATTAGGAGTAATTTAAATGCCAATGCGAAGAAAGAAAAGTGCCGGAAAGGACACCTGTCTTCACTCTTCTCTTATGTGATTCTTAAAGGAGAAAAGAAGATAAAAGTGAGCCGCGTAACTGTCTGCACCAGAGTGTGACACCTCAGAAAAGTGCCGGAAAGGATAACTGTCTTCACTCTTCTTCTTATGTGATTCTTAAAGAAGAAAAGAAGATAAAAGTGAGCTGCATAACTGTCTGCATCAGAGTGTGACACCTCAGCAGTAGCTCACGAGGGATGGGGGAAAGGAGGGATTAAAAGGATAGGATTAAAGGTATAGAAATAAAAAGAGGAGGAAGGAGAGAGTGTGTTGCAGGGACAGCGACACCCAGAAGCAAGGAGAAAATAGGAAAGATGTACACGGTCGTAGGAGTCCGAGGACGGGGCATCACTCAGCAAGAGCTCCTGTTGGCGGCTGGAAATGGCATAGGGCGAGCCAGTCGGCCAGAGCTGCGCTGTCGTCTGAGATCGCAGGGGCAAAACCGGTCGGCACGAAATTCATAGTCCCCGTCTTCACTCTTGCTACAATCACTGCTAATAACATCCCGTTCTTTGGCATCATTCTCTGCAAGTTCTCATAAATATTGTGTCTAACAAAAAAAAACAAGCCCTTAAATTACACTTTTTTGCTTCTTTCAAAGCAATTAATGCGTCATTCTGTGTGCCACTGGGCAACAGAGTGTGACCTTAGAAAATGATTCCAGTGCGTGTGTATGCCATTTTATCAGCTCGTCCTTGTCATTTCACGCAATTTTTATTTCACGGTGTCTATGATATTGTCTGAGCTTAAATGCGTTTGCTTTGTTCCAAGTCGCAACATCTAAATCGTGAAAAGGTCGAGAGTAAGAGTTACGCGTGTACCCTGCTAACGGTTCACGTGAAAAAATTTCGGGCTGTCAAAGCCAACCTGCAGCACTCCGTTACAAACTTACGTTCCCCTACTGAGTTAATAGTGTAAACACAATAACTGGGCACTGCCACAGTGTGCAATTTCGTCTCGTTCCCTGTGGTAGCCATTTTTTGGTGGCTACAATAGGCAGGAACTGTCGTATTTTTGCTGTAAGGTACCCAGTCTTGCTGCGCATTTCGCTTGGTTCAATATTTACCACCTTTAGTGTCATCTTACTAAGCATAAGAATACACTCAAAGCTCAACATAAGGAACCTGGTTATAACAAAATATCGGTTATAACAACGTAAATGAAGAACACTTGTGCAAGAGATATAGCATTAGCAATACACCTCTATAACGAATTTTCGTACATAACAAACTTATTTTTGTGTAAAATGCAATTTAACTATAACGAGGTCTGAATGTATTACTCCATTTCTGGTGAGTTTGGTTCATGCTTCTGTGCCTGCACTGCATCGTCAGCATCTTCCTTTCTTTTTCTGCACACTTGCATGCCTTCTCCGCCACAACTTGCAGACGGTCTTGTCTCCATTTCCCACCAGCATCGTGTAAGGCCATGCCAACCCTCTGAAAAGCACCGTGTTGACGTGAAGAAAAAGAATACTGAATGACCACTCATGCGGACCTATACATTGCATGCTTTTCATACATAGTGTGCCATGTTGTTGAGGCTGTACAAGAAGTTCACTGAATGAAGTGTGTAACGCTGTGCACTTTGTTTTTCGAAAGTATGAATTATCAGAGTTTCAATTATCGCAACTCTACTGTATGTCACTAGCACGCCCACATGAGCCAACACACATGGTTGAACGCCCCAACGGTGAATGCTTGCCCCGTACAGGGCAGCAAGTTCCACGACCCCTCGTACGACTACATCCCGGACGGGCAGTTTCGGCTGCTGACGGTGCTTCTGGTGGGGGCCACCTTGGTCACAGCCTGCCTGGTGCCCAACATCGAGATCGTGCTGGGCCTGACGGGGTCCACCATTGGGACGCTCATCTGCGTCATCATGCCTGCGCTCGTGTTCACCCGCGTCCAGCCGAAGAGCACCAATGAACGCCTGGTTGCTAAGGTGAGCGGCTTTATGCTAGAATGTATTGGTCATTTCGAAAACAATCGAGAATGTTCCTGTACCTTTAAGCCTTTGCTTGTGCCAAGCTGTGGGGCAGTTTTGGTTAACAATGTTCAGTTGAGCTAAATAGATAAATAAATAAATAAATCAGTAAATTGAGTGACTACACCGAGCCGCTTGAGGTACGGATTATGTTACGCATGAAATTGTGTGATATCTTTAATTCTTGATAAATTTCAATTTTCCCTGTAAAGCTTCCAAGTTCTGCTCGTGTGCATACCTCTTTAAGATGTATTCATCACATGCAGGCACATTTTTTGTAAGTGGTGCATGTACATTCTTTATTATTGCTTTTGATTACTGCTTTTAATACTAATTATTATGACAGTATATATTTTTCCTGGCAGTTATGTTATCTTTAGACGTGTGCCAATATTCGAACTTAAGAATATATTTCGAATAGTGTTTGCTGTTCGATTGATTCTTACCGAAATTTTTCTGCTCGAGGTATTTCAATTTCCACAAAGTAAATACAGTAGACTCCTTTTAAATGAAACCTGAAGGGACCAGGAAAATGGGTTTCATTGAATAGGAGTTTCGTTTACTGAGCAAACAGGGGTACAATGTTCAAGTACGAAACCAGTCATATTAGAGACAGTTGTTTCATTCAAGCAGCAATTTCATTTAAGAGAGGTTCGTCTACTGTATAACGGTTTATAGTAATAGAAAATGAATATAAAGATGATAATTGACATGCAGCATTTTTGGTCTCGCATTTTGGGGCGCCAACGTGCGAAACTGCTAGTCACATCCACCGGTGCTCCAAGCGGTTGCCATGCAGCAAGCTTAGTTATAGGGTTCTGCCACCAATGCATAAAATGCCCATTCACATTTTCGAGTAGCCGGAGGGTGGTGCAATTCATTTGCATGCTATGAAGCACCCTGCAATTTCATCGCTTTCACATGACCACTAGCCGAATGTTCTTGCCGACAAAGTCAGTTATTGTCTTGTACACGTGCTGTGGGCGTGGTTTAGGCCTAGCCATGAGTCCGAGCAGTGAGCTGGGTCGCGGTGTGCATAGCCCCGGTGCCCGATGTTTCAAGGTACATTGTGCTCAACCGCGAGTAGACGGTGCCAGCTCTTGATAACCTTCATCACCATATCCAAAGTTCTGATAAGCAGGTCCCATGAGTCAGCGCTAGGTGCAGTTGGTCCGAGATGCACATCTGCAATGTTCGCTACAAGCACGGCACACCGTCTTAATCTGATGATTGACCTTGCGCTTGTAGCTGCCAAGCTAAAGTGCAATTATATTCTAAATCACAGGGTAGCCAGCCAGTCTGAGAACTGGCTAACCTCCCTCTCCTTCCTCATTTATTCCTCCATATTCTAAATCATCGTCAACCTGTGAGTACAGAACGAACGCATACCCATTGCCTAGCAGCGCGTTTTGTTGGCGGCCTTGACCTCGCAACGCGCAAGCAGCAGACGACACCGTCCCGAAGAAAACCAATTGCCAGGCCTGTTGGTGCAACATGATAGACGCTACCAGTGGGAGTCCTTGAAACTGACTTTAAACAGTTGCTTCTTGTAAGCTCGTTTCTAAATGGAAGACATAGCTGAAGTGTGAAATTAGAAGACTGAGAAATGCTCTTTTCGACGAGCCCAAAATGGTGCGGCCCGATGGCGCCGTTGTGGAGCTGTATTTTTTTTTATAATTTAGGATATGCTGAAAGATCTTCTGAAACTTCTTCTCAACAATTTTGATTCAAAGTATCGAAAAAATATTCACCACATATAATTTAAAATTCTATTCTCACTTTAACTTTGTTGTTTGAATTCGCTTCACAACCAAAATTTTGTTATTCGCAAAGCTTTCATCAATTATGCATTTGTAACCTTTTTGAAGGGCACATGCGCGTAGGTGCCTGTATGATCAGGCAGCCACTTGTTGTATTGATGAAACTGTCATGAGAAAATATTTGTTTGTATAGTGGCATGTGTGTGCTGCTTTTGTTGCCGAGTTTCGGCCACCTGGGCATGTCAGGCTGTATGTATGCTGACAGCTTTTTTGCTAGGATAAGCATTGTAAGTTGCGCAGATGAATAGAACTTGACTTGGCAATGAAACAGCAAAGCGATGTACGCATGCCTGTGCATGTAAATCATTCTAAGTAATTTGCGTAATTCATGCTTATGGGTGAACTGGCTTGAATACTCTTTGTTTTAGCTATGTGTCAATTTTGTCGTCTGGGCTTAGCCTTCTGCAAATCGACTGTGCAAGCACAGTATCATAGAGTAGATGTAGCCGGAGCGTTTCGTATGCAGTTCCTATCCTGGGCGGGTCTCTGCATAATGATTGGCTGCACAATGACAACGCTGAGCCAGGTGCGTCCCCCAGATCGAGGCTCTGCCACCATCCGCATGAACCCGGTGGCCGTGGTGGTGTCGAGACCAGCTCCTTTGCTTCGTAAGTTGCCCTAATTAGTTATAAGGAGCAGTGCAAACTGTGTTGTTGTATTTGAGCATAGAATACAGTCGAACCTTTTACATAACAAATGTCATCTTATAGTAAGATATTTTTTCTATGTTCTGTATTTGTTATTGCCTTGTGTAAGGAGATTGCTCAGTTCTTTCTGCATGCTCAATATCTTCGATGTCTGGAGCCCTAACGATAGAATGTCACTTTGGCCTCGCAGTCGAACTGTAGCCCAAATAAAGCGCTCTTCTGTTGACTGCTGAAAGTCATCCAAACTCAGTTGTGTTGTGTTCTACACCGTTGCTGTTGATGATCTCGTTGGAATCGTCGCTTGATTGCGTAACGGCCAGCCAAGCTGCCGTAAGCCTCTTCCTGGTCATTGTCGACATGGCAGGGTGTCTTCATAGGTTGGGCCGAAATAAGAGTTCTGACCCTGTTCAAAGTCATGATGTGGGATCTCGGGAATTGTTGCTGGCTGACAGTCAAAGGGGGACTGCTCTTGATGCATTCGGAACTTCTGCAAGGTGTCTCGGCCCGAAGTCATCGAGGTCTACGGCCATGCCACAAAGTGCCAGCGTCACAGCCTACGGCCCCTTGGAACTGAACGGCCACTGTTTCCGTCGACAGTTCAGAGCTGCCAGTGTGACTTTCCTCGACTGTAGCCATGCAAACAATGCCAGCTTATTGAACTGCAACCTTCGTTTATGGTTTGCGTCACGCGGGTCGAGCTCTGTGCATGCACCCGTGCCTGTTCCGACTGCTTATTATCCATAAGGGATCTCCAGACTCTTGACAGTTATAAACTTGCATCATTTACGTTGCAAGAACAGTGGGGCAGCCCCTCATTTACTTTGTTAAATATGATAATTTGCTATATGCATGTCAGTCACATTGAGGTATGGCACCCCCTGCATCAGGGAATGGAAGAAATATTTACTCGCAACTGCTAATATCAGCTCACGTGTTCTAATTCCAATTCCTCATTTGCAATGCAGTCCATGGTTTGCAAATGCGAGCCTTGCCAAATCTGGCTGTCTGTTCATTCTGCTTTTTCGACTGAATGAATTAGCCCCACATTTCTTCACAAGGTAATGATCTTACCTTGAAAGGCAATTTGCAGTAGCATTTTAGGGAATGCAGGTCTCATGCCATTCGTCTATTTGTTGTTTCTCCGAAACTGCCTAAAAATCTTAAAAGCTCTCGACAACCTGTGCTTAAATGCGACCGTTTTCCACTGGGCAACAAACCTTACGGCATTATGTCACCTTGCAAGATTGGCCCTTCCTGTATTCTTATCTTCAATTTTATTGTCGAGCTTCTATTACGTCTAGCCACTATTACGTGTTGCGTTGCTTTACTTTAGGGCACGGCTTCAGTTCCCAGCCGCAGCGGTAGTGGTGTTTCAGTAGTGAAGTTAAAAAACAAAAACGAAAAAAAAAATACACTGTACTTAGTTTAGATAACCAGGGGTTCCTTAATGTGCACCTCAATTTAATTCGTAGTTCCACACTGCATTATGCTTTATAATCATATCCAAAAAATAACAGGATGGGGAAGATAGAAGATTTCGAGGGAAGGAATCCGTAAACGGAGGGCGTGTGTGCTCGAGCTGACGTTTTGACAACTGGACTTGTCTTCCAGCCTGGAAAAAGGAGGGTCTACTTGTCAAAATGACAGCTTGTGCACACACCACCATTTACGTTTTAAGGGTGAAGCTCCTTAAGGCATGGGTCGTGCGTCTCCTGTATGTAGTAGTCACCTATCGTTTTACTACTTCGAATGTCCGCTGGATGGCGGTACTTGTATATGGTGAATATATGATGAAAAGATGCGAGATGGTAGCACTTGGAGTGTTCACTAGATGGACGGATGGATGGATGAACAGACATACAGACGTACTGATGGACAGACAGAGAAACAGATGAACAGACAGACAAACGGATGGACGCGGCCAGCGGATGATTCACGGTTTGCCAATAAAACCTTTGAAGCTTATCATCATTCACTCCGTGTATATGCAGCAATATGTTTTTTCATCGTAACCATATTTATAGCCATTACTCCGATATTTCAGAACTTTGTCCAGACTGCCAGAATCGCAGCGATTTTAACCACATGCTCTGGAGGTGCCCCTCTTTACAAAGAAAAAATGAAGAATTTTCTGAGAACTCCTTTCATTTAATGCTCACGAGTCCGGTTCTCGTACACAACTCAAGGCTGTCCAGAAGGCCCACGATGCGGCGGTGAGGCTGGGCCTCCTTGTCCCAACGTGGGAGCGGCCCGCAATCCTACCCCTATAAAACGGGGGTGGAATCCTTCAGGACCCCAATAAAAGTTTTTCATCCATCCATCGTAACCATATTGCGAATTTAATGTGTCAAACCTTATCAAAATTTTTAAATGCGTCTGAAAATGTGCATGGTGTATGTTCTGAATTAGTATCTGTCAGTCTAGCGAGGTGCTTCATTACGCCACGTGTAATAGTGTGCTGTTTTTTTTTTTCTCGCCAATGCGGTGCAGCGAAAGATGACGTCAAGCTGGCCAATGCTTCACCCGGACCTGATCTCGCAAAGCCGCTCTCGCCAAAGGGCGATGTAGTGCCGCCTGCAGCCGTTTTGTCACCCAAGGGCATGCAACGTAAGTAAAGTCTTCACAGGATATTTCAGAGTAATACGTAATTTGACTAAACCAAAGATTTAGTGGGCAGTCAACCGAACAAAGGGATGCGAGACGCTGACATACTCAGTCGGTGACATTCAGACCTGAATATGTCGAGTGCGGATATGTTTAAACATTGCCTATGTCAAAATTTTTCTGTACCTCCTCAAATATTGCACGCATTTCTCATCGCTTCTTTTCTTTTCTTTATTGAATGGGGTCAGATGTAAGATGGATATGTATCAGACTCTGCCCTCTCAGAGCGTGTGCACTGCATTGACAGGTGACAGGCTTTCCTACAACATACCTGAATTATTCGATTCAATTTGCCTTCAACTGTTACGATTCAAATTTGTCTTCTGCTACAAATATTAATACAGTCGACGTTCGATTTCCCGGACCCTCAAGGGATCGTGAAAACGTCCGAAAATTGGGCAATCTGGAAAAACTAACGCAAGTGAAAACTCACTTTTAGCGGGTATTTTTCGCTAATGGAGAGGGTCACGGCAGGAGTACAGGATTCTCATTGCAATTCAGTAAGTGCATCGTTTACATGGCTCTGAAAAAGGCCATATATATATATATATATATATATATATATATATATATATATATATATATATATATATATATATATATATATATATATAATAATGAGATCTAACAGACAGTAATGCCAAGTAATGTACAGGGGAAGTTATTAGAACCAATGAAATGTAAATAAGAAGAACGAAAAGTGGATGAAAAATAACCAGCCGCCGCGATATATATATATATATATATATATATATATATATATATATATATATATATATATATATATATATATATATATAGTGTATACCTAAGGGCTCGTTTTTTTTTCGTGTTTTGACACAATATTAATGAGATCTAACAGACAATAATGCCAAGGATTGTATAGGGGAAGTTATTAGAACGAATGGAATGTAAATAAGAAGAAATAAATGTGGGTGAAAAAATAACCAGCCGTGAGCAGGAATCGAACCTACGACCTTCGAATAACGCGTTCGATGCTCTAACCACTGAGCTATCACAGCGGCCTTCCCTCCACCCACTTTTTTGGGATTATATGTGAATTTAGAAGTGGGAGTGTCAGTCAGCGCCCTCTGTAGCCAAGCCGTGAGTGTGAAACACCCTTTTATGCGCATGTGTGGCGTCACGTAGCACGTGAACTTATTACGAGCGGGCAGCTGACGAATAGTCCCTCGCATACAACCTAATGACACCAAGTCTGCCAGTACGAGACCCTTGTTAATGAATAAGGGAAAGAAGTGTATACCTAAGGGCTCGTTTTTCCGTGTTTTGACGCAATAATAATGAGATCTAACAGACAATAATGCCAAGGAATGTATAGGGGAAGTTATTAGAACTGTGAAGAACCTCGTCACAGAACAAATGGAATGTAAATAAGAAGAAAGAAAAGTGGGTGAAAAATAACCAGCCGTGAGCAGAAATCGAACCTACGACCTTCAGAACTGTGAAGAACCTCGTCACAGAACAAATGGAATGTAAATAAGAAGAAAGAAAAGTGGGTGAAAAATAACCAGCCGTGAGCAGAAGAAGGTCGTAGGTTCGATTTCTGCTCACGGCTGGTTAAAATGTCCGAAAAATCGAATGGCGAAAGCTATAAACGTCCGGTATATCAGACTATGGCAAACTTGATGGTGCCACAGATTCGAGAAATCAAATGTCGACTGTACTCTTGCATCATTAATTTATGTACTAAAGGCAAAGACATAAGGTGCGTGCTGGAGTTTGTTAACCTAATGTGCAGTGACTAACATGTAATGACGCAACTGCTGTCACTGCTTGCTGGAATGATAAGTTCATGGCGCAATCACTATGCAGGAAAAAGAAAAAGTGAAATTTAGGTGACAAAGGTTCCGGGGCGCAATCATAAGGCGAGTAAGTATAGTTGCTAAGAGAAATGTTTCAGGAACATTGGTCTGTAGACGTGTCATAGATGGATTGCTTGACTTTAAAAATTATTCTCTTGTATTCTAGATTTTTTAAAATGTATATATTGTCTCTCTCCCTCTTCCCCACTACAGTATGTCCTTTTATCCGGTATGTTATTTGTTATAAGTCTGCATTCCTTGTAAGGAATAGCTGTATACAGTGATTATTCAGTGTCGGCTTTGTTATTGGTCAACATGGCTGTTTTTTTTTTTGCCATCCCTAGTATGATGTGGGTTGAACTGTCACTCAATAACATGGCACCTGTGGAACCTGCTTTTTCAGCGGCAACGGTGGCGGAAAAGAGGCTGGAGCCGCCCGAACCTGTTGAATTTCCTGTTCCAAAGGAGGTAAGTTGAGGCCGCGGGCCGAAAGGACTGGAACATTCATTCCACCATGAAATAGGCTAAATGTATCATTGGGAGCCTCTGCTGTGCTACCTTTCCAGCACTCCACTTTGGAAATAGGATGCGAGACTTCTGGGAGGAAGTGCATCCACAGTACGAAACTTGCAAGTAATTGGAAAGAGTTTGATAGTACTGGTGTCGCACGGGCCCTTTTTAATGGCTATCCAGTCGATGGCCATTGAAACGCCACAAGTTTGTTGACTTGATTGAGTTGTCGCGCTGCTACAAGGTGGTTTAGAATAGTTTGAGTGGTTCAGGTGTTTATCTCAAAAACTGTCTGGCGCTGGGGATCCTCTTCTTCGTATTCATGTTACGTCAATTTAAGTAATATAAGTTCATTTAAAAACTTGGGTATGCCTGTTGATGGTTAAATATTTCAATAAATTGTTTATTCGTACTTATTAATGCACATTCAGCTTCAAGTTATTCAGCAACGAAACTGGCAAGCGATACAGAAAAAGACAGCATGCTGAAAATGAGCGCATTTTGCACAATTCAAGTGGCAAGAATACTCTATTAAATAATTCACAACCCTGACATACACTGCTTTTTAAGCATACTGGTTAGATTTTTTTTTATAATGTTTCTAATTGTGTGTGCGAGCACACCAAGTACAGTGTGAACCAGACGACACGTTTGCGCCGTTTTTGGTTCTATCACTCAATGGCTATCAAAGTTTCAGTGTAGTTTAGCATATAGCATGCTTCGTTGACTAAATGGACTATTGACTCAATGGCCTTCGAAAACGCCCGTGTGACACGGGTATTAGATGTTGTGTGTCAGTTGGCAAAAGAAAGTGGGATTATTTTAACAGAAGTAATGAAAGAGTCACTCTGACAGTAACACCCAATATCTGGGGTTTTATGCCCCAAATCTAAGATGGGATATTGAGGGGCATTGTAGTGGAGCGCGCTGGAGATCAGACCACCTGGTGTTTTTCTAACGTGCACTGACATTGCACATCACATGGCCCTTTGGCATTTTGCCTACTTAAAAATGAAGTCGCTCGCGGCGTGTGTCGAAACCACAACCTTTGGTTAGTAGACGAGCACTCTAGCCACTTATCTACCAAGGCGGACAGTGCTGTGCTACCGACTCATCAAGTGGAGTAATAACGACACAACGCATGTTAGGCTGTGACCAACACGATACACCAGAGTTTTTTAATTGTGCCAGCCATGAAAGTGTGTTTCGCACTGTGCCGCATACTGTTTCTCTCGTCCCTCTGTCTCTTTTTCGTTTCACCATGTCCCCCGTGTGGCCATAGCTGCTTACTTTCTCCTACAGCCAACTCTGCCTCCTGGTGTCAATCCAGTACGCTCACAACGCGATGTCACAAACTTACGAACTGGTTACCGTCTTGTGTGCAGGTCGTGGTTCCCCTGCACCCCAAGCCAGTTCTGGTGGTCGAGCGACCGTCGAAGGACGAGGCTGCTTTGGACCCGGAGGCTCTGAAGAAGGAGGACCGCGAGATTGCTGCGGCCACCTCGGGCAAGGTTGTCGCACCTGCCGCATCCGGCGGTGCTGGAGCCCAGTCCCCGGCGATCACTGCTGCCCCCGTTGTGGCAGGCTCCGAGTCCAAGAAACAGGAGGCTCTCCTTGAGAAGATTGCCCAGGAACAGAAGGTAGGATTTCACTTGCATACTGGAGGCTTACACTTGAAATTCACTTGCACACGGAAAGGTTAACGGGTCGTGGCCTGATTGTCCAGATAGATGAAATGGCCACTCTTAGTGCTGCTTCACCTCAAATCAAACCCAGGTGGGATGACTATCTTTTTGTTGAACAGTTTGGGGCATGTGCAAGGGTCAACTGAAGCCCAAAATATGTATGCTAATAGGAAATGCAGCACCTTTGGCTGTCTCTTCTACAAATTTTTCATTCTCCATGTCTCTTGCAGGTACCAACTAGTGCAGTTCACAAGGCAGTGCTCACATGCGTGCATTGTTACGCCTCACTGTTCCGTGTGGTTGGGCACTTATAAAAAAAAAAAAAAAAACCCTGGTTCTCCTCTCTTTCTGTACTCCCTGAAACCGAAACTGCGATTGGGCGCTCTGGAAACGTCTCCAAATAATTAACTGCTATGCAAGCGGTTTCCAGTCATGATGAATGAATCACTAGACTCTTATTGAAACAATAAAAACAAGATGCAAGATCTTTGTGTCAGTAGACTTTTAGAAAGATGTTTTAAAAATTGGAACATGTCTGTCCGAACTTGCAGGTGCAGAAAAAGATGCTGGAAGACCTGCAGCGCGAGCTCAAGCAGGAGCTGGCCAAGCACAAGCAAGACGACTCCGCGCAGATGCGGAAAACTAACGGCACTGCAGACGCCGCTAGACCGGTCGTCGCACCCGATAATGTAGCTGCACGCACTCCGGTCCTAGACAGTGTACCTCTTGTGGTTGCACCGGCAGCATCTCTTACCGGTGCTAGACCGGAAGCGCTGAAGGCCCTGCCTCCAGCACCAGCTGTGGGCAACGTTCTGCCCCTGCAGGCAAAAGAAGGCCAACTGCCACAGAAAGGTCCCCCCGTCCAAAACGTCCCGCAGCCAGTCCTGAACCAAGCAGCTCCACTGCCTGCGCAGAAGTTGCCGCAACACCAAGCACAACGGGTCGAGCAGATCGTCAAAGTTCCTTTGTCCATAGGCATCCAGCCCGTCGCACGGAATGTTCAACAGGTTCCCGCGAACCAGCAGCTCCCAAACCCCGCTCTCCCTCTCGCACAAGTGGGTAAGAAAGATGAGGCGGGACGAACTGACTCACCCGTTGCGAAGGCCGACCACCAGCAGCAGTCTCCGGTGATCGCACCGAAAGCTGGCATGCTGCCTCTCCTGCCGCAGGCTCCGAAACAGGTTGTGATGCACCAGCCTCAGGTCGGCATTCAGAATGCGGAGGTTGCGAAGCAGTGGCCCATCGTCCCAGCCGCAGACGCCCTTCCGAAACTGGCGAAGAGTGCCGTCAAACCATTGGATGTCATTAGACGTCGTCAGGAAGTGCAGCAGCCGTTGCAGCAGCAAGTTCCCGCAGTCCCCGAGAGCAAGCCGAGCTTAGTGCAACAGCCCAAGCCTGTTCTGGGGCAGGCTCCGCAAGTTCTCCCGCTGGATGCAAGCCAGTTTGCCAAACAGGCTGCACAAGTCAAAGCCGAGGCTCCTGTGGAGTTTCTTGGCAAGCCTTTGGAAGTGAAGGATCAAGGACCTCGTGTGGCACCGGTCCAGCAAGTCGACAATCGGCCGCTAGTTCGCAAGATGTCCAGAGACACCCGAGAGGCACCCGCGGTGGCAGAAGCCCCAAGTGTGGTTGACGCAGTTGCACCGAAAGAAGCCGTAGTTCCCCTAGGTGCAGTTGCGCCCAAAGATGCTGCAGTGGCCGTTGTGCAAACTGCTTTGCCTTTGGCAGATGGCGAGAGAGACGTTCCTGCCAAGAACGTAAACGTCGCGGCCTTTAGTGAAGTGCCAGTGAAACTGGAACCCAAGAACATATCCCCGAGTCTTCCAAGCCACGTGCCAGCGGACTTGATGCTAGCTAAACATGAGATTAGGAAATGAATGCGAAGGATCTGTGCGTGGATGTGTGCATAGACAAAACTGGGCATTTACTGTGTATGCTTGTGAATGTGACATATGTCAGTGCTGTGCACTGCAAACTGTTGTGTTCTTTTCAAAGTATAATAATATATTTTTCGTTCTATATTGTAATAAATGCTCTATTTTTAGTCGCAATGTCACTGATTTGTCTACTCAAAATGGCTTACCTTCTGCCTTTGTTGCGGATAGTGAAATATGTGGTGCACGGCATTGTGGCTTCAGTTCTTGGATGGTGTAAGTATGTTCAAATAGAGATTGACTGTACAAAAATATTCTTGTAGTGTGCATTAAGCACACTACAAGAATACTTGTTGGCATTTAATATCCCTACAGAGCTTCTCACAAAAATATCTGGAGGGAAGTGTGGCGCCACTGTCTGTGCGAATTTCTCAAGGGGCCCGTTGGAGAGCTGGGAATCGCAGTATGTGTCTGCGAGGCTCGTGTTGGCTGGTGTTGAGCGAGGCTTCCGTTCAAAAACGAATACGACTGCGTAAATAAAGTACAAATAAGCGGATCTCATTCACGCTTATTATAATTTAAAATAAAAGTCTGCTTACATTGAAGGAACAACCAAACTGCGAAAGAAAGGAACAGACGACATAAAAGTGGTGGAGGGAATGCTCGCTGTGTCGTTTACCTGCTAAGTTTAGCGGCCGTTGGTTACTTCTCACGCTTCGCAAAATTGTGCATTGACGCAGAAGGTCCGAATGTTAATTAAAACACGTTTCTGTGTAATGACAAAAATAAATAGCTTATTACGTGCTCTTTTAGTTTGAAATCGATCATTTTAACATGAAGCCACACAATTCTTCAAAGTATACAAATCTGAGTGAAGTTTGAAGCTCACATATCCTGACATTCCCTTGCATACAGCAGCTCACTAGCACCAGATTTACCGCTAGGTAAGTTTGTGAGAAACTCTATGAATATCGTAAAACCATAAAACAACAAGTGACACCGTCGTCGAGGGCTTCTAAAATTCTGACCCACTGGGGCTTTTTAACGTGCACCTGAATTTAAGAGATGCTGGCCTCGAGCACTTTTGCCCTCATCGAAAGTGTGGCCACCGAGGCCGAGATGCGATTGCACTTCCTTTGGGTCGGCAGTCAAGCGCAGCAACTAATAGACCATCATGGCAGGTGTAGTACGCAGCGAATTCAAAAGCTTCATGCAGATCACAATCCAGAGCCCAATCAATACCACAGCAAGATTGCTGTAATTTCTCGTGTAGAGCCTGCACAAAATAATACAGAAAGTTTGAAGCTGAACTCGTGATGTGGGTTCTAGTAGGTGAAATTTAGTGAGCTGGGTGGCTTCCCTGCAGTACATGGAAGGAAGATGAAAGGGATCTGCCAAAATGTACCCATATTTATATTTTGCAGTTGCAAGTTGCAGGCGTAAGTAATAAATGGGAACATATGGTAGTTGCCTCTCTTTTGGTGAGACATGAATGAGTCTATTATGAGTGTTGGGACATTGCAAGCAATGATGGTGTTTGGATAACACTACGATTATGTTTTTGTCGGCAAAGTACGATTGTATTGTAAAAATTATTTTGAGCATGTTATGTAAACATCTTATCTTCAATTCACGTCCACTGCGCAAAAAAGTGAAGTCCTAGCTCGAACTTCCAGTACAGATTCCTATCAGTGAGATTTAAAGTATGTATGTTTCGGCTTTTTTTTTTTTTCAAGATTTTCAGAGGGTGTACTAGAGACATGTTCTGGAGCATTCATTGATACCATTTCACTTTATCTGTTGTTCAAGATATATATGACTGTATACACAAAACGTTCATTGCTTTTCTTCCAAGCAATAATGCCGAAATTTTCTCAACATGATTCCTACCTAATGAAGCTGTGCTTTGATTCATATATTAGTGATTATTGGTCGAGTTCCTCACAAATTATTATTTACAAATTTTTTCTGTCACTCATTATGTATTTGGAAAAAAAAAAAACTAGACTGCAATAGACAGTTTTTTGAGAAGGTCCTTGGTTCGTGAAGATGTGGGCATTGATGCTGTTCTAAAGATCGACCGAGTTAGGTTACCGCTTGTAGGGTTGTAGTGGACAGGTGCACATTTAGCCGAAAGTTATTTTCTTTATTTTAATCCCTTCATTCCTTCCCCTATGCAGGGTAGCAAACTGGATGCAGATCCGAAGCAGAAAATATGACAACACAGCATATCATATTACCAATTGGGCTTTATATATATATATATATATATATATATATATATATATATATATATATATATATATATATATATATATATATATATATATATATATATATATATATATATATATATATATATATATATATATAATTTTTTTGCTGGTTCAGCCCTTTGCGAGGTTTTGTAGGGTCGCTATGAAATATGTGCTGAAGTTGTTGCTCGCTAATTTCTGTGATAGTCGTATGACGGCTGCTAAATTAAATAAAAAATGAAAAAGGGGAGAGGGCAGCTATGTGCTAGAAGTGCGAAGGCTGGGAACGGGGAAGTTGATTGGCCCTAGCACCTTTGCGCCCTGATTTCCCTTTTGGTATGCTATGCTTTACTTTCTTTTTTTCCTCCTCCCTAATCTAACTTTATTTTCCCACGCCCTTGCTGTATTACATAATGAATGGCTATGTCCTACTTTCTCTTCACTTTGCACTGCTTAGTCTCGTCATGACCGCACATCTGCGGTGTTCACAATGTTCAGCCTAACACTTTTTTTTTTTACTGTTGCGTCATTATATAGCAAAATCACTTGTTACGTTTGACTGCATCTGTTCACTACATGGCCTTTTTTTAGCGTAACCTTGCGCGTTCGCAAGCACAGAAGCCATCGATCCTAATAAATTCAAACTTTGCGCCGAAAAAGTTCGGGCTTTTATGATGATGATGATGGGAGCTCTCCTGACGCATGCGCGCACTGCGCCTCACTGCGGCCTGCGCAGGCCTCCGACTCGTGCACCGTGCGCGATCGCTCTCGCTTTTTGCGCTGAACGCCCGCTACCGCTGGTCATATAAAAAATGGCCGGCCCATCGGCGTGATACGCAACGCAGTGACCGCGCTCTTTGCCATATTCGCGCACGCGATGGAGCCGAGATACGGACGGAGTTTCCAGCGGGTGCCCGGACGACCGTGGGACGCCCGCTGAGTCGTCGCGACAGCTGCATCGTCGCGCGTGCCGTCGCGCGCCAAACCGTGGTAAGCCATATCGTCGACGACGACGCTGAAGTCGCAGCACGCGCCCTGTCGTAACGACCACAGCGGCTAAATTTAGCGCTTTCGCCCCGTGATGCAGCCGCTGACCAACATGTTTGCGTCAGGGTCAGCCCGCCGTTGTAGTCATTATGCCCTCCGATATGCCAACATGCAGCTCATTAAGGGGGTGTCGTCTTCGGTAAATGTCACGCCAAAGCTACTCCGAGCTCGTGCCCCCGCCGAGCGCTGTTATAAACTTATAGCCTGCTCAAAACTCTTGTCATCGTCGATGCTCGGTGACCTTTGATGTTAGCCGACGCCGATACGCAGCTCGCGTTCATAAGGTGTGTTCGCTTTACTGGCCGGCTCGCCTTCGTGTCTACTGCGGCGTGAAAGAGCTAGCGCTGCTTCGCTCGTTGTTGGTGGGAAATAAAGCGTCGAGTTTCCTCCTTGTCGCTTTCGACATTCCGTTGTGTGTTCTTCCGTCATTGTGCATCTCAAAAGCTCCTCAGTCGGGCCAAGGCGACACACTACTCGCCACTGGTACGGCCGCTTGACGCCCCAGTTTTCAATCCTTTTTTTTGTTGCCTCGTAAATGTCCTTGGAATCTCTCGTTGCCACTTCTTTTGAATGGAGGCTGAATAGGGCTGACACTGTCCCGCGAGAGTTTTTCCGCATTGCCTTCGGAGAGTAATTTGTTTATCCTTTCGGAGTCGCATTTCCCGGATGCCATACGGTGCGTTATCGGGGAGGCGGTGCGCTCAGCGTCTTTCAATCGCCGATTGAGTGTGCAACCGAGCGATTAATCGCATCGGCGCGCGGCTCTGAATAAAGACTGCGCGTGATTCATGTCGACGGTCGGCATCTCGTTTGGCGCCTGGCTTCTATGTTCTTGCTTTTTAATTGTTGGGTGGCATGTCGCGTTTTCGCTGCAGAGACCCGCAGGTGTTTCGAGCGTGCAGTGCGCTAGTATTGAGAACGCGTACGGACCGTGAGAAGCTTTCGTTCATGCGTGCTCGATTATGAGAACTGTTCGTTCAAAGGTAGTGCTAGCAGTAATGATAAGGTGGACTTCGTTAATTTTACAACCTCCTTAGTTATCGCAAATATTCGCAAGTTGTTGTCATCAAATGGAAGTTGTTAAACAGGTTGCGTTCCTGAATAATCGCATCACTTTGTGTATATTGAGTCGTACTTTCTGTCAGATCAGCGTGAAGATTGACTGTCGTATCGTGCCTGGGAGGATAATGTAATTCATAGCTATTAGTGCAATGTGCAGGTTAATCAGACATTAGGGAGCATAGCTATTGGGCAACAGAAAAGTCCAAGTAATGTTGTGCAGCTCTAATGAACTGCTCTTGGTTGCAGATGGTATGGGTTAAATAGATCACATTTCCTGAATAATGACATACTTTCCTTATTTTCGTGCAAACACATGCTACTCAGCTGGCCAAAGTAAAAACGAAACAAAAGAATTAAAGTGAGGTGACCCCAATAGAGCTGCAATTCTTGTAGCTGGGACACTTTGCAACAGCAGAAACAACTCGGAACATTGAGCAGCTGGAACTATGTGCTGTTGCCTATGCCGTCTTTCCGCTCACTGGCAACCCGGGCATGTGACACATCTATGTGTACATTTGAGCAGCCTGTAGATTTCCGACCACCAGCGTGATTGATGTCATTGCGGAAGAGTTGCCACATACTTTTGAGGGCAGCTGCGGCACAGGCCTCGGTGCTTATCTAGTTTATTATCCTTTATTCCCGCTTTGTTTGAAGCAAGCTAAATACACGAGCGTGTGCAGCCATGTATGAACAAACCCACCAGTTGTGCCAGACAAAGTGCCCTTTAAGTGTTTCTACACTGGCTCTCTTGTGTAGAGACTTGTACATTTCAGGCTTTTCATCACAGTATACTGATCAATGATGTAATTTCTGTGTCCCTTATATTCACCACTTTGTCAGGACAGGGTAAAGGCTGTAGACGGACTTGGTCGCCTATCTCCAAGCGGCTTTGGTCAAGTCCTTACTGGTTGTTGTGCTGCTCATTTAAACTGTCGAACTCTATACATTGACACAATTTTTCACTAGTTCCTTCTCAAAGCTTCAGAGGGAAATTGAATATAGAAGCAAAATCACAATAAAAACAAAGCCTTCCATTCAAAACTAAGCACATTTCCCATAATACATTGTGAGAATGTGTCTCGTGCTTGACCAAATTGGTCGAGACAACTCAAAGCAAAAGAAAAAAAAAGTTCAAGACAAGAGTGTTTTCCACTCGCTGAACTCTTTGTTGCCTTGTGTTGGGACATGAACATTTTGTGCTAGTGCGCTTCACTGGCTGAAAAAAAAAAAAAAAAAAGAAATGTTGCTCAAGGAAACCCTAAAGCACAACTTTACTTTTTTAAAGCCTTGCATGTGAAACTAAGCTTTGGCATCATTGCTGCACAAATTATGTGGCATTTTTATATATTCGAAATGGTATAGTTGCCAGTTTGGTATCTCGCCAGGCATATGTGCTTAATACCTTCACAAATACATGTGAGACGCCAATCCATTACCTCTCGATTTGTGAGCAGACAAGAAGCACTGCCTAGTTTACAAGGTCTTTCTGCGTAGCTTTGCTGGCTCTTAACGTTCTGAAATTCTGTAGTCGCTGCAGTTGTTGCTTTTGCCGGCTTTGAGTATCAAGAGCCTTGCTTTTTGCATGCTCTTGGTGACACATAAATTTCGGACTGCTTCGCAAGAATGCTAATAATTATCAATGCTGTGTGAAACTGTATGCCTTTTATGTAGTGAAATTTCATTACACTTGGGTTTAAAGGAATAATAGGAATTCTTAAAAATGAAATGGCTAGTCAGTTATGTTAGATGACAGTTAGTACCCTACAGAAACTCGCTTTTTTTTTGCTCATTTGCTTACAGTATGGCCACACCAGCTGCAGAAGTATGCTGAATACTGGCAGTATCAAAGTGGATCATATTGGCATGTGCTGGCTGCGATTGTTTGCTTGGAAACACATCGTGGAGATGTTTTAGAAGAAGCCTGTTTGCCGTAAAATAAGAAAGGAGGAGTACAAAGTTTATACAGATCTGTAAGTTACATAATTTTGCCACTCTGTGTGCATTTACATGACTGCCCTTCCGCGTTATTCCTCTAGTAAAAAGGCATAATTTATTTTAAAAATGCCCAACATGAGATCCCCATGTTTGCGGAGGGAAAAGAATTCAACAGTGAACAAATATTGGTGGCAGCTTAAAGCGAACTATTTCTATTAATGGGGCACGTTTCGCTTGATGAGCTACAACTAAATGCAGTAACGGGCGTCTCTGCTGGCATTGGTTGCACAGGAAACCAGTTAATCAAGTGGTAAGCTGGCAGAATAAGCCCAAGCAGCAAAATACAGTGGATACGAGTAGACTCTTGCATGCCCTTTCCGAATGAAATAATTACGAAATGGATAGTGTTTGCTTTTGCGGCCCATATACACATATTCATAGCAAGATTTCAGTGAATTTTGTTGAACTCAATGCTCAGAAAATGAGATTAAGTGACCTGAACCTGCGTACGGGCTGAATATGAAAAAAAAAAAAGTGCGACCCTCGCGGGAGTCTATATGACTGCTGCTACAAGCATTCTCCAATTCGTGGAAACATGGCACCCACTGTTATTTGCAGCGGCATATTTCCCACTAGCGGCGCCTTTCTTTGCATAATTTCAAAATGCAATATTTGGCATAAAAGTGTGAAGTCTGCAGGCAGTGCTTCCAATCACCACTTAATAAAATCTGTTGCATTCACCAGGTTGCTCACAATCTCTGCTAATACATTGGTACCTTTGTTTTTTGTTAAAACCCAGCCATTTCCTTTTTTTCTCCGCATTACACTAGCGTTATAAGAATATAAATATGCCAGCCTTGGTTTTTGAAATTTTTTACCCTTTTGCTATGGGAAACAGTAAAAGATGCTCTGCTGTTCCAAACAATAAAGTGCTGCTCCAAACAATAATTTCTATTGGCAGTTGCCCCAAACCTGCTCCCAAGTGACACTAAGAGAATGATAATGACTCTTATACTTTTTGACCTACTCATAAGTCCTAAAGAAACTTAAGAGAATTTGCATACTATCATCCTAGAGTGTATAAAGTGTGCAGCAGTATTGGCTCTGATATCATTTATGCAACAAAAACTGGCATATTGAACATATAGCTCATTTGGCTTTTTTTTTTTCAATATGGACGTGCAGTCTGTTGTGCTGAAATGTGAAAAATAGAGGATTGCGTTTATCTCATACTGATTATCTGCTGCTTGTTTGGCAACAGTTATATGGGACTGTGGTTACTTCTAAAATGTGGCCCTCAGCTTTACCAGTTTGATTTGGTGTCTGCCACAAATACTAGCATTTTAAATATATAGCTCACTTCATGGCACATTTTTGACAACCAGCCATATTTCAAATTATTTTCTTCTGAAACTTACATTGATTGTTGTCTGTTAAATATATTCTAATAAATAATATTTATGATCATGCTTTGGCAATTCTTGAACTCCAATTGGTGCATGGCAAATTTTGTATCTACTCCTAAAACACCAATAGCTGCTCCCAACTAACATTTTTTCCACTCCGAAAACGCTTATGGCTGCTACAAAAACGTACTTTTCCTGCTGTGAGAAGTAAAAAGTCACTTTCATCACTGTGCCGGTCTAGTGGCTGTGTCATTTTTGCTACGAAGCATGGGGCTGTGGCTTTAATTACTAACTACAGCAGCAACTCTCTGAAGGGGATGACTGGTGAGAATGTGCGTGGACTTGTATTTACCTGCACGTTAGAAGATACCATAAGAGGTGTTAAGTTGGATTGTCCCACTGGGGGAGGTCTAGCAATCGAACCATGATTTACGAGCGTGAATTGCTAGAATCGAATGAAAGAACAGATCTTGCAGAGGCAATGACACACTGTCTATTGGAGGAGCAAAGGATTAGGATACATCAAATAAGCAGTGTCAGTCATACTTGCATTGCGAAGCCTTCTGTTTTGCTGAATACCAAAATGCAAGACGACACATGCTTGTGCAGTGTATTTTTTGCCTGCCAGCTCTCAAAGAACAAAAGCGTGTAGGCCTTTCAGTAGCAGCATTTACGCGAGCGCTGCAGGGGTCCATCTAATTGGTTATTCCACACATCATTCCACACATCATGTACGACGTACACGAAGGCACACTGGGAAGCGAATGTGGTGCCGATGTTTCTATGCACTGCAAACAGTAGCAACGCCGTGTCATTTCTGCTGTGCATATTCAAAGGCTCCTCAAAAGGGCTGCGTTAGATGCAAGAATGTTAAAACTGTAAATGTTAATGTCCGTTGACCGGGGCTTGCAAGATAAGGAAAGAAGGTCGTGCCATTGTGAAGCAGGTTTGCGTGCCTTGCTGGCATTTATCTTTCTTTTCCTTTTGTTAACTTGCAGAGAACAGAGTCAACAATGAATTGCAGATAATTTCTGTACTCATTCTTTGTGTACGTGACTCTTATGGGGTTTAAATGACTTGTTTAAACTCAGTAATTGAGTGGTTATGTCCGCTGCAGTTGAGCCGTGGTTATGACGCTCACCTGCTGACCCGAAGCTTGCGAGTTTGATTCCATTCGCGGCAGTCGCATTGAGGTGGGAACGAAATGGTAAATGCCCGTGTACTGTGCGATGTCAATCCTTGTTAGAAAAGCCAGATAATAGAAATTTCCGGAGCCCTCAATCATGGAGTGTGCCAGAATCGTATCAATATTTTGGGACGATGCTTTTGAGCATCCCTTCAATGCATCTTGACTGAGTCTTCTTGGATGCATGAGCGGTTAATGGACATTACGTGTCGCATCACGCTATTCCCTGATAAAATCAAGCTCACAAATGTAATGGACCTGTCTCCTGGTTTGTTGCTGCTTCTTGCAGAGAAATTATCGCTAAGGGAATCAAGATGGGTGGGAGTGCTGGTTTCTTTGTACCGATTTGCCCGACTTGTCCAAAATTGTTGCGCCTGCGGGTTTGCTTACCATGATAAGAGTATCGGTCTTGGCACTCTGCTTTGTCTGATAGGATGAGCTTTTATCAAAAATCTAATCACCTTTGAGGGCATTACTACTTCATTGTTTCAAAGGAATAGCAGCCTCGTGATGCGGCATTGGAAAATTTTGAAAGCAAAGGCTTGTTGGCGCTCTAATTTGCCTTCATTTATAGATTATTCTCCACTTTTTACATTCAGTGATGGCTCTACAGTGTTTTTATGTAAAATGAGAGAGTCAGGATTGTGAATTGTCAGCATGCAATAACCCACTGGGTCGGCTTTTGTGTGCGTCTTTAAACTCTTTCTTGTACTTGTCTCCTGTGCACAGTAAAAAAACCTTCAAATATGGATACTTATCAACTCAGCTACTATTTTTGCACACGTTTAAGCAAATGCTCAACCATCCCTAGTCTTAGTGAAAAAACAAATTTGATCGATTGTAAATGCTGCTGTGGGCACCTGTGCCACATTTTGTGGTCAGACTTGATACGTGTGCAACCATGCGGCAAACAATTTGTGATTCAGCGAACTCTGCTACTGAGATCATTCAATGATTACTAAGGAAAAGTAAGTTAAGGACGTCCTTAAGGAACATTGGTTGGTAGGAATTCATCCACAGTTCCCGGTATGGTGCGCCTCGTGTTGATGTATTGGTTTGGCATGTAGAGCACCAGAATTGAAGTTTTTGTGTTTTAAATGAACATTTCTTATGTAAACTGGACAGTACAGAAATACATACTAAGTTGGATGGATAGGTTGCAGCAATGGAACGTGAAATCAGTGAGTGCAGGTAAGGTTCTAAAGGAAAATTTTCTCTATAGGATCCTTCAGTGTTGAGGAAATTATATGACAAAGGAAGTTTTCATCAATCTTGATGTGGCATCGAGGTACAATGAATGATTGATAGTTTTCAAGCAGACATTTCATTCCGTTTCAGGGCTCTATTTTACAGTATCCTTCACGATTCTTGCGTTTCGTTGTAATCCTCAGAAATGACAATTCCATGCCCCTAGCCAAGGTTGTTAAAAATTTTCAATGGTTTAGGCATCTCTCTCGTGTTTTGTACAGCCATCATGTTGGCCACGGAGAGCGTTTGGAACGCGACAGTCCTCCTGGCCGTCTTCCTGGTTCTGGTCTCCGAAGCATCTGGACATCCTGTCGAGGGACAAGGTAATGCCTCTTGATGCCAGGAGATGCGTATCATTGGTGACCTTGCACAGGAAAATGAACAAAAGCGACGTTTACAGAACATGCGGTTCGTTGGGCTACTTGGTCGCACTTTTGTAAATGGGAGAAACGGTGCAAAAGGAGATGAAGCACGGAAGAAAGAAACGCACAGGACAAAGCACTGGCTAACACCTAAAAGTTTTAGTGCATTGACTCGAAGCAAAAAAAAAAAAAATGGCCAAAGCCAACATGTAAAACCTCTAGTGTTAGTCATAATGCATAAGTTGGTGCTGTCGAAGTTTTTTTTTTTTTTAAATAAGAACTGCGTTGCTACTCGCTTCACTGATTGGCATTGTGGTGTAGGAAGAACGGGAAATGTGGTAGATGGCTCGATCATTAGGCAGAGAAACAAGAGTATTACTGTTGTTACAGTGGGTACCCGGCATTGCTCAGCATTTAACATCATTTAGCCAGTAAGAGCCAATATTCGCTAAATCTAGCCTTAATGTTGTGACTTTACCTGACCTTTGCCAATAGTGAGCCAACACTGACAGGTTGTAGTAGTAAATAAAGTAAGAGCAGCAGTCGCATTCACTGAGGAATATTCATCATCTTTTGCTAATAAAAAGGAAATCTGTATGCAGTCGAGCCCCTATATAAGAGACACTGATGTAGGAGACGAATGTATATGAGAGACACGAGTGTGCCTACATGAGAATAGGGGTTTGATAAGAAATAGCAAGCGTGGTAGCCTGCTTTTAGGACACACCTCATATAAAAGGAAATAATTGCTTCCTGATGCATGTCTCCTATAAATGGGTTCAACTGTATAAACAACATGAGGTAGTCTTGTTGCCGCGAGTGCACTTCACAGCCTTTTTGATCGTGTCTTTCGCATTACAGATGGGCTGGAGTCTGGAGGAGCACGGTCCTGGATTCCAGCCTGGAGCAGCGTGTCCGAGTCGATGTGGGTGATCGGAGCGTCCGTGTGCTTTGCTCTGACGGCGGCCATCGTGGCCTCACTGGGCTGCCTCTGCTGCCGCAACGAGAGCATCAAGGTGCGTAGCCAGTCATTTTTACCAATTTCCTTTAATAGAAAACGTGGACTGTTACTGGCTTGTGCTGGGGTCTGCATTTGAGGCTGGGAGGAAAAATGCAGTAATAATAAATTGCGAACTTTAAGAAGTTTAATACACCTGCCTCTCACTTTTGCATAGTTTCATTACTTTATGGAGCTTTCTCCTCTGGAAAGATGTGCTTACGTAGGCCTCTTTTTGTCCCCCCATGTTCACTGTTAAATGGAAGTGTAAGGCCTCGCAACCCTGGGAGTAAAAATGCTGGAAATCCTGTGATCACCCCAAGTCATTAAATAGTAGAGCCATTCAAGAAGCAGCTGAAGAAGCTTCGGTTTCGTTCCTGGAGTCTATGCTGTATTTTAACGCCGTGAAACGGGTGATGGTTACGTGGAAGCTGCGCATTGCGGGAGTTTGATGCCACATCAACTTCCTTGTTTTTTCGATATGCTGCTACATCAATGGCCACAATGAGTAGCTGTGTAACTGTGCTGACGTTTGACAGCATGTTTCTCCTATAGGTTTGAGGTCCTGGTTGTGGTGTCACTAGTTTCGGTTTCAGTGTATAGTCTAGAATTGTTGGTGGCGCTGTTGTTTTGTATGTACGGATGTCGTGAAATAAAAGATCAGTCTGCTTCGTTGGGTTATGGTGACTGGTCAGCTCTCTTCTTTGTGGCCGCCAGGGGACGGTGCCACACTGGTCCTTCATTTAAAGTAACAAAACAATGTGAGAAATATCATGCCTAGTAGTCGGGGCCTGTTTTTGGTATTATGGAAAATTGATTTGCTCGTACAAAGCCAGGTAGTCACAACCCTTGAAACATATCACCAGCCATATGTGCCACGATTACTGCGTAAACTGTTTAGGATTCACAGCAGCCGATCTTGGTAGTTTAGTTGTCTGCTGCTGCTTGCGTCCATCGCATCTGTTGCGTGCTTTTGAGGGAAAAAAAATCACAGCAAATCCACGGATAAATGATGAGTGGTCAAAGCTGCGGAGGGAATCATCAGGTAAACCAGTGAATTTCCTGTGTAATTCGCCAAGTCGATCATCATTTAAAGATGTGAGAAACGCTCTGTGTGTATGCCATGCCTCTTGGGCCTCCCGCTCTAGTACGGCAGGATCTTGGTAGCGGAGTCGCGCAGCTTTATGGCGCGCCAACAGCAAACGAATTTTATTACAACGCTCCCCCTAGCGTACGCCGCCGCACTATATCGAACGATTGCTTTCCACCAATGACGCACGCCATGTGTGACGTCGTTCCGATTATAACATCTCGTATCTTTCATTATCAACTACAGGTACTGGCATCTAGTTTTATAACATCTCGCATCTATTCATCAACTACAAGTACCGCCATCTAGTGAATGCTGCAAGAACTAAACTAGAGGTGGCTACCTACATTTACTACGACTACATACCTCGGAGGATGTACAGGCCCTCTCCTTAAGGAGCTTGGTCCCTAAAAAAATAAAGAGTTAGAGGCGCATTGAAATTCTGGCTTTCTGCGAGGCAAGCAAGTGTCCCACTTCGGAGCCACAGCAATGCTCGAAACCCTATGCAGGTGTCATGTGTGATGAGGAAAGTGTTAACAGATGTGATATTATCTGGCAGAAGGATGGAATCACGGTAAGCATAACAATAGGTAAATTGCTCAATGTGTGGTTAGTTTAAGACTTCCCACCTAATACAGAGGGCTCTGCCACAATTCATCATGCTCATCATCATCCACCCCCGCGTCAGCCATCTGTAAAGCTATTTAGGTGCCCATATTGCCTTAGAAACACGTAGTTGGTCATTGCTTAGTTTGCAAAATGCCACAAGGTACCTGCCTCACAACTGTACTTTCAGTAAAATACTTTATAATGGCCTCTGTTAAGACCTGTCTGCCAGTATATGCTAAGACTGTGGTGCATGTTTTGCACAAGCCTGGTACATGATTTCGTTTTGATGGGGTGCTTTGGGATGCTGACCACAATTGCAGGAATGTTTCTCATATTGATTTCTTCTCTATATCACAGCTTTTGGGCACGCGCAATGGCGTCAGCGTGCCGCACCTGCCACTGGGCAGCATGGCCCAGCAGCGGAGTAGCCTATCACCCGAGGTGACCATCTTCCCTCCAGCCGCTGCCGCACCCCGCCTCGCTTTTGCCACGCCCCCGACAACCTTCGATGACAAGGTCGGCGTGCTCTCCTTCACTGTGCCATCTGCTATAAATGCCTTTTTGCAGACTGAAGAAAGCATCGATTTGTGCAGCATTTGTTTGAATGAAAGTAACCATTTCATTCGATGAAGATGCAATTCAGAGATCTACATTTGTTTCTTAATAAAGGCAGCTGAATGTATTTGTGCAGAGTATGAAAATTTGGCCTTCTGTTTTGTAATAAGTATCTCTTTTAGTATTATCTCCGAGACTAAAAAAGTATTTATACCGTGCATAGAAAACTTTTTCTCTATCCTGAAGTACTCTTATTAATGGCTGACTGCAAACAAGCTCGAGCAAGTTCGAAAAGTGCTCATTTAGAATAATTTAGTTGCACTTAAACAACCTCAGGTGACAGTGCTTTTTTTGGGGCTTGACTCAACCAAGCCTTACCTCACCGACTAGAAATGGAAGCACCACATCATTGTCATTGTTGTCAGATATGGGTGCACGTTAAAGAACCTCAAGTGGACAAAAGTTCTGGAGCCCTTCACTATGCGTCTTTCATAATCCTATGGTGGTTTTGAGACGTTAAACAACACATATAAATCAATCACATCATTGTTGTGACATGGAAGGCCTCGGTGTTGTTTTCGCTGTATGGGTACCCACAATTGGTGCATGCCACTCTTTACTCATCATGGTGAAAGTTAATTTGAAGCCCACTTCACTGTAATGTATCTTATACATAACCTCATGGTAATCTTAGCCCTACGAGTCATTGTTGACTAGTCGCTTTTGAAAGCAGCCTTTCCGGCTTGTGCACCACTTATTCTGCTGCTCGCACGGTTTTGGTGAAGCAGTGGCTAGTTTGTGCGAGCACCATTTTTAAAAATCAGACGCTGTAAGCACAAAACTTTCATTCTCGACTTATAAGTTGTTACTTGTATCATGCATTCTACTACAAACTTTCCTGTTCGCATTGAATTTACTCACAGCCCTAAGTTCATGATCCAGACTGGTAAGAATCACAGTCTGGTGCTCATTTTTAGCTCAAAACGATAAAAGAGCACAAACAATGCACCACTCTCAACTGAGTGTAGTGCTTTGTTCTGTCCTCTTCCTCATGGTGTCTCTTAGTGCTAAAGATAAGGACTATAAGTTCACACCAATTTGCCTACCAATGTGTTGTGTTGAACTACAATCTTTTCTTCAGAGATTGGATCTGTGCAACTTGCCTGCACTTGTGCAAGTGCGAGAACACGACGGTACAGGGAATAGAAAAAAATTTATATGCGTTTGCACTACTGTATGTACTTCTGTGCTAGTGTCCGCGTGCTTGCTGATAGCTTTTAATTTCACTAACTGCCACGACTCGCCATGCAGGTGAGCTTTGAGCCGCTCCCCAAGATCTTCCCTCGGCTGCCGGCATCTCCATCCAAACACCCCTTGCGACCGGCCCACTACTCGGGCGAGCTAGGCGGCACTCCGAGCTCTGTCCACGACTGGTTTGGTGAGTTCTTTGTTGATCCAGTTGTCCATATTTGTTGCACACGCGACGAGGCTTCAAGGGCTATGTTTTCATTTGTGCGCTCTTGTGGATGCTTTTGTATTTGTGCGACTTGGCATCTCACCTGACGCCTGTCAGGAGTCATGGTTGCTCTCTCAATTGGCTTAATCCAATTAGGGTCAGCGGAAAGTGATTCGCTGGGAATGCTACTCTGGCAGACACCGAGCAACAGTGGCTGCAAAAATATCTTTGTTCACTTAGAGGCCTGTTATTGAGATCGCTAAGCATGCTTCTGTCTGCACCAGCATAGACATGTTCATGCTCTGCTAAGCATAACCATCCGTCAGTGCAATTTACATGAGAGGGTCGACCGTGTTGCACATCTCTACCCCAAAGGCCTGGCTTGGAATTCAGGAAACATTGCCGACGTGTTTGTCTTTTGTATTGCTGAGATTATGCTTTGTCAGTTCCGGCTCTGGACAATGTTGTGTGAAGCTGAGTGGAACGTAGGCCTACCCGGCTGGACACTGATATGGGCCACGTGCAAATAGACTAGAACTGGTTAGTGATGTTCATGTACTACAGATGATGTAGCCAATGCGCTTTAAGTTAGGGGGAGATGGTTGGCGAGAAATAGAGATACAATGTTTTCGTCTTTTCTGTATTGCAGTTGAACCCCTTTATTATACACGTGCATGTAAGGAACGTATATAACAGCTGCATCTTGCTGATGCTTACCTATGGAGCAGAAACCTTGAGGGTTACAAATAGGGTTCAGCTTAAATTTACGACGAGACAGCAAGCAATGGAAAAGAAAATGATAGGTGTAACCTTAAGAGACAAGAGAGCAGAATGGGTCAGGGAAGAAACTGGGTTTAAGGATATCATAGTTTAAATCAATAAGAAATGGACATGGGCCGGGCACGTAGCATGTAGGCAAAATAATCGCTGGTCATTAAGTGTAACTGAACAGGTTCCCAAAGAAAGCAAACCCATGAAGGGGAGACAGACACTCAGGTGTACTAATGATATTAAAAAGTTCACTGGTATAATGTGGCAGCAGAAAGCACTAGACTGGGTTGATTGGTGGATCATGAGAGGCCTTTGCCCTGCTGTGGGCATAGTCATCAGGTTGATGATAATGTAAGAGACAAATGAATATAAGAGACATCAGTGTGCCTTCATTGAAATAGGTCTTGGTAACTAAACACCCATATGTCGTACCTTACTTATAAAAGACATCTTATGTAAGGGACAAGAAGTGTGCTGCCTGGTGTGTCTCTCTTATAGAGGGGTTCAGCTGTATACAGTTTCTGCACTATGCCTACTCAGACAGTGGCGTTGCATCTTAGTACACAATGTTTAACTAAATTCTGCACTGAAGTCTACTAAAGTGCCCATCAACCACTGCATGCCTCGGGCACCATGCAGCATATGCAACAAAGCGTGGGGCCTACAGTGGTCTGTTTTATTTTTCGCTAAATGAAAAAGGAGGCACGACGGTGACGCAGCTAAACAGGCGTTGACCGATATAACTACTGGTTGTATAGCTAAGCTTAAGCGCTTGTGTAGTTTACAGCCTCCACAAAGCAATGCATCTTGTGTATATCAAAGTGCTCCTGGTCCGTTTAAATTTCAAAACCGACTCGGAGCAGCGGCAAGTCACTGTGTATGAAAACTGCCATGTCATCACTGACGCCCCATGAGCCACAAGTAAAGTACTGAGGTGCCCGTTAATGTCATTTAAACTGGTATGAATGCTCAATAACTTCAATTACCAGTTGTGGTGTTTGCGAAAGACGTAAGAAGCACCGGCAGCACCACCGTACAAAAGACGTTTATTGTACACAACACATCGAATATATACATAAAGGACAGACGCGCCCCCTGGGGGTGAAAGAACACAAAGTAAAAACCGAAACTGAATATAACACCAGTGCTCCACGCGTTCTGTCACCACGGTTTCCCAAATAAAAAAAGCCTCGTGGCACACACTAGACTAAGACCATTTAGCTTTGCCACCACATGAAGTTTACCATATCCAACTAGTACAGCTTTCTGCTAAATGGCTATACTGTAGAGCCTGAGTGACAAAATTGCGGCTTGTGCGAATTTTGGTTTGATGCAAATTTTTCTATGATCTTGTCCAAGGCGATGTAATGCAATTAATCGAGTAAAGTTGCCAACCGATTTTCATGTTGCAATAGTTGATACAAATTATGCCACAGCATAGGTACAAACAGGTACAAACAATGTCATGGGAGACACAATAATTGCGTGCGGACATGCGCACCCCGCTGCCAGTTTCTTGAATAGGCTATCAGTGATGCATTGTGTCGTTTGGCATGGTGTGTGCAAATCTTAGATGCCCTTATGCACCTCAGTGTGCCTTCACGAATAGAATATGGATGGGATTGGCATCAGGCTGTTTTTTTTTTTTCCTCCAACACATCACTGTGTGCAACTGTGCTCGAAGCAACTTTGTCTCGCCGTGTTTGCACATGTCTGCACATCGATGCAAGCCATGTTCTTGCACTCGAACATCCCAGAACCGAAAAAGAACGTCAGCAAGCACAATTGTTAGGGTTGTGCACCTGCCAACTCTCACGATTTGCATGGGGGGACTCCCAAATTTTGAGCAAACTTCCAGATAGTTTGGGCATGGTCATAAATCTCTCAAAGGTCATCCTGATAGTACTACAATAAGAAAACAACAAAGGGCAGCGGTTCTCAAGTTTTCTGGCTTTCATCGATTGCATGTTAAGCATTCTTTAAGTCACTTTCGCCGCAGCACTTTGGTGTATGTAGCAAAGCATACAAATATTAGTAAAGGGGGCTACCAGCTGTGATGGGTCACGACACGTCTGGCCTATTAATTACTCGCACGCACACGTGATGTATATTTATAAGTATGATAGTTGACATCTATAAGCTTTAATGGCAATCACTCATGGCTATTTATGACTATGCTGCAGCCTTGACAATGTGGCATTCTGAATTTTCATGTTTTCTGGAGAGACCAATTTTGAATAATGCTGATAATTTCAATAACCCTGCGAGCTTTTCATTGCCAAAGTCTTACTATCAGATTGTTCATGTGTTTTGCTTCTTGCAAGTCTCGACTACGATGCGGTCCTGAGCTCTACTAGACTCGCTCATTTTGAAGTGTCGCTGTCCTTCTGGCTGCACAGACGATCCACAGGCCAACTTTCCGCGGGAACGGCTGCAGTACCTGCAGGAGCTGGGCGTCGGCTGGTTCGGACAGGCCGTGCGTGGAGAGGCGCAGAACCTGAACAACAGTCGATTCGGGGACGATGATCAAACTATCCCTGTGACCACCACGCCGGTGGTGGTGAAGATTCTTCGCTCGGATGCGACGCCCACCGAGCACATCTGCTTCCTGCACGAGGTGCAGCACCTCAGGTGAGCTGGCTAAAAGATTAAGCACTTGACTATAGTCGGTTACACCCTGAGTATTCGAGCTCCACCCACTGTGATCACGTTTCCGACCAGAGAGAATCGGCATAGAGATCCAATCCAATCAGATTTGATGATTTCTGTAATGTAAAACACTTTTCGTGTGTACATACAGGCGCATGCATACTGATGTAAAGTACTCACGGATTGAAATAAGACAACTCAGGGCTAAGGAACGCTCATACTTTCGTTTCTGCCATCTTCATTTTAGGTCAGTGTAATTTTTGCTTTGAACACGTAAGTCGGGGCCAACTTTATCTTTAGTGACCGGACTTGCTGCAACATGGCCTAGCTATGTCGAGCTGTCGTGCGCACCGGACATCATACTACAAGATTTGGTGTCTCACTTGAATCCATGACTACTGTACATACAGATACATACAGGTGTTTATGCAGTAGGTTTTAAGTCAAAAGCTTGAACATCCTGTCAAATTTCGTCAGAAATTGAGACACTACTGTTTTGCTTGAGGGGAGACACTGGTCTTGAAAATGAACATTTTCATTATTGGAAATATTTCATTTGTTATATGTATTTCTTTCCCCTGTTTTTGAAAATGTAATTACTTTTAATGTATTTTGATTAGTTACTAGACGATTAAAAAATAAGTGAAGCCGAAATGCATAATTTTTTCGGTTCATTCAGACACTTTTCCTCAATATTCTTAATTCCATTTAAGACACAGCTATTGCTAAGTAGCTGCCATGTGGAGCTATGCTATTTATATTATTAGCAGTGATGTGATAGCTGCGCCAATTGCGCCGAACTGCGCCGAAAGGCGAATCCTGCGCCAGCCTGCGCCATTCTGGTCAAATATGAGCAATCTGCGCCGAGTCTGCGCCAGAAGTTGCCATTTGCACTTTGTGGCCGTTTCGTGAAAGTGGAATCGTACAACCCGAAAACTGGGAAGGATCTGCTACTCCTGCAGCCTAGTTCATCCGTGAACTGGAAGTCAAAGGTGGAAGTAGGAGAAGACACTGCAGCTGCCATGGCCAGCTGGGAGGCAGCCGAAAAAAGGGCATTTAGGTTGGGTGCGAGGAGTTTTTACATTAAATGCACCTAGTATCTGCTGTCACGGCTGCCACTAGACAACACTAATCTGGAAAGCCTTCGTTGCCTTCATCCCAACGCTCAAGGCAGAGAGACTTCCGCCTGTGATTTGAGGTTGCTCGCTGCTAGACTCCCACAAGTAATCGAGGCTAGCAAAATTTCAGCCCTCATGGACGAGTTTACCCTTTTTCAGCTCGAGCCAACAGAAACCTTTTCCCTGAGTGTGGATCAACACTGGCAGAAAGTTTTTGAGCTGAAAAAGGCTGACGGATCAGCAAAATACCCTCTGCTATGCAAGGTAATCAAGGCATTGCTGTGTATTCCGCACGGTAATGCAGACCTGGAACGGGGCTTCAGTGAGAACCGCCGCATGCTCCTCGAAAGGGCCCGCTTGACGATTCATAATGTTAACGGCATTCGGCAGATTCTTTCACATGCAAAACGGTTTGGTGGAGACCCAAGCAAGTTTGTGGTCACTCCTACTATTATCAAGGCTGTCCAGGCGTCTTCCAAAAGGTACAGAGAGCGAATTGCTGCAGAAGAGTCGGTAGCTAAGTGAAGGTGTACTGACTCAAGTAAATCACCTGAAAAGGATGATGCTGAACAGGCTGTACAAGCTGAAGTGGAAACAGCAAAAAAAATGATCTGCAATGCTGAGCTTCTGATTGGGCGGGGAGTGAAGTCCAAGGACTTTGGTGACATTGAAAGTGGGCATTCACTTCTAGCAGAAGGCAAAAGCAGGCTTGCATCAGCATTGGCAAAACTCACCTGTGCCAAGAAAAGGTCTGCAACTTAGTTACCTGAGGCTGCAAATTTTGTTTTGTAGGTGACTTTGCAGCATTTCTCTCGGGGATTTCTAAACTGGTGTTTAAGCTTCTCAAATGAGAGGGTGTGTGTAGGTTTTTCTTGGAATTTTTTATTGCCATGCATAATTTGTAGTTTGTGCTTCATATCTTTGTCATTTGTCCAGTGTGCTGTGGTTTGCGTATGCATAATTTGTAGTTTGGGCTTCATATCTTTGTCATTTGTCCAGTGTGCTCTGGTTTGCGTATGTAACATTGAATCAAGGTTTTATTCTTTGTGCAAATGGTCATCACTTGCCGTCGCACTATGAGATACCGTACGCGTACGCCTGCTCCAAAACCATGCTGACCTGCTCCAAAACATGATTTTAGCTGCTCCAGAAGCTGCTCCAAAGTGGCTTGGGCCAATCACATCACTGTATTAGGGACATACAACATCATATCAAAATGTTCTACTGTATTCACGCTTCGTAATTTCTAAATGCAATTAGCTTGCCCCGCCGCGGTGGTCTAGTGGCTAAGGTATTCGGCTGCTGAACCGCAGGTCGCGGGATCGAATTCCAACTGCGGCGGCTGCATTTCCGATAGAGGTGGACATGTTGTAGGCCCGTGTGCTCAGATTTGGGTAAACGTTAAGGAACCCCAGGTAGTCGAAATTTCCGGAGCCCTCCACTACAATGTCTCTCATAATCATGTGGTGGTTTTGGGACGTTAAACTCCACATATCAAATTAATGAACTGCAATTAGCTCACATTTTTGTTCACAAAATTTGATATGTCCAGCTAAGCCATAAAAAAATAGCATAGCTCCACAGTTTGATTCCTTACAAGTTAAGCGAAACAAAATATATTGAAATTGCCTCACAAAAGCATAACGAAAAGTTCTATAAGGCTAGTCTTCTTGGCAAAAAATGTGAAGATGAGAAAGTTGCACTTGAAGTTTTGACACTTGATGCAGAAATCTCTAAAAGGAATCTTTGGCAATGAATCGGCAAAAGATGTAAAGCTGAGAAAGTCGCACTTGAAGTTATGACACTTGATGCAAAAATCTCTAAAAGGAATCTTTGGCAATGAATCTTATTTGCATGTTCCCTATCAGTTTCCCTGCTAAACAAAACAAAAAGTATCTCATTTCATCCAAGGAATTGTTTTTAAAAAATTTCTAATGTGGAACCATGGGGTATGAGATTAAAGCCACTGGTTTCTCGTACGTCTTTTTGGCCTTTCGAAAGAGCCATATGGATGTTAGGCAGCTTTGCTGCCCTGTGCAATAGGTCGCTAAAAGCTGAGCGTAGCTAACACTCAGCCATGCACAGATGTAGCATCCCGAAACGGCGCACGGAGCTGCACAGATTTCATGTTTCTTGCGAACGTGTATTACTGAGACGTGGTCGGCTCGGCTGCAAAATCGTGGCGAAACCAAGTGGATGCACTTTCAACCATCGCTAAATCGACTTCGTAAGCGGAGTGAGAGATGCGCTCTACGTTCTGCTGCTCGCACCATCGGTCTGCATGCGCACATTACAGTTAGTTCAACGCGTTTGTGTGTAAATTGGTAGAGCATACACATGTCTGACTGGAGCAAACGCTCGGCTAAATGTGCCTAATGGGCACTGACTCTACCAAAGTCCTGTCCTGACGGTGCACATCTAGCCGGCGCCTTCTTGTTTCAAGCCCGCTTTTTACGGCTTCCAAAATCTCGTTGTGAGGACGGTTTCGAACGAGTCTTTGGGCATCTCGATCCTGTAGAAGAACTATCAGTGCAAAGCAGGAACATGGCGCTTTGAGAAACATGCACGGGTGCAAAAGCAGATGCACACAATCGAAAGCCACGATTGTAAATGCGAAAAAAAAAAGACTTGCGATCACGTCAGTCAGTGGGAGACGTGGAATGGCGCACTTGAAAAGCGCGCCGCGTGAGAGTCAGTCAGCAACGCAGGAAGTGAACTTCAGAAAACCTGCGATGGTGGCCATTCTGCTTGAGCAACACTATTTTGAGATGGCTTAATTTATGTACAAGGGAACCAGCTTCATATATAGCTCAAGATGATGGCGCTTGGCTGGGTGCAACACTCGTAGCACATGTGAAGTTTTGCATGAATTTCGTTCTTTTGAGGGCATTTTACTGCTTCTGGGGTGCTTTGAAGGCCATTTTAATCGCATTTTCCAACTGCATTTAGAGTTAGTAATTTAAGTGTAGGTGCTCAGAAGTACAAACGCCCCGAAAATAAGTTTTGCCCAAAAATCTATTTTTTCTTGCGGGTGGAGCGTGTATTTATTACTAGTTTGTGCCCAACTACAGGCCAAAAGTGAAAGGCATTGCTAGAAAGGAAAGCTTACTAAGTGAACCCACGCATTGTCCCGATTGTCACACCTAGAGAGGCTGACTTTTCTGATTCAGGTTCTCAATACTGGAGAGAGAAAAGGTTGAAATATGTGGTGCGGCAATTCGAGAGATGGCATTTCTACATCATAAAACTTCCTGCGTAACAAAGGCTTTGTTAAGAATGCTTGAGCCTTTCATTGTGCGATGTTTTCATCTAAGTTCCACCTTTGGAGGACTATAGCTTGAAGGTGCTTAGCTTTTTTTGTTATGTCTCTTGACTGTGTGGGAGATGCAGCATTGTATCATTTGGCGATTTAACCTAGGAAGACTCCCTGCATGACTATTTACTGACCCAGAGCGCCTTTGTTAACTGAGCTTCAGATATCTCCACTTTTGACCTTTGTAATCGTGTCGATCATAGTGTGCTCGTGAAAGCACCGCTGAACACCATTTTAAGGTGCAAGTTAGGTCGGTATACACAAAAAAACAAGGCTTCAATGCAAGAAGGGCACGGTTTTTTTTTGCCTCGAGGGAGATGAACCGGCAGACTGTATTGAAATATTTCAGTTTATTCCGTATTTTATTTCTATTCTACACTAATAATTAATATTTTGGTGTACGATTTGGCACTCCTTAATAGAAAGTTGATCGTTAAATTCATGCCTTTTCAGATCAGAGAAGAAAGTATGCTTATGTATGTGCAATCAGTGTCGTATTTTATTGCAACGTCACACTTCTGGTTTGAACTGTGCAGGCTTCTGCGGCACCCGCATCTTCTTCAGCTGCTTGGTCGGTGCCTCGAGTCAGATCCATTCTTGCTCATCCTCGAGGACTCTGTTATGGTGAGTCTGATTGTCGCAGTGTCTGACGCTCAACGTCGAGTTTCAAGTGTCATGTTAGGAGAGCTTTTGCTCCCTTATGCGAGCGTGCAGGTTTGTGAACCATTAGCACATCTTAACCTGCATGCCAATGCTTATCGTGGATGGCATACATAGATAGGCAAGTGGACAGCAATCATTCATTAAGTCTTGGTTGAGTGATGCCAGAAAAGGCAGCATTGAAGTTGAAAGCTACTTAGCTATCCAAGCGAAGTGGTGACGTTGCAAAATAGAAGCTCGCCGGCCAGGCATCTTCATTCAGGAAGACATACCATACACTATTCTCAACAAAGCGTAGATGTGAAGGTTTTTTCTCTAGCTGAATTGAGTTGAGCGCAACATCATTGCTTATCTAAAATTAACAATATTGGTCAAGTTAGTAAGTTCATGAGATTGGCTTGCGCTAGACAGAGTACATTGAAGATACTGAAACCTCGAAATAGTGAACCCGGATATAACAAATTATAGATTATAATGAAGTAAGTGAACAATAGTTTCTTTTAGTAGATACAGTGTGAAGAATATGTGCTTGTAACGAATTTTCGGATATACAGTAGAAACTTGATGATACATATTCGTAGGAAGCACGCAAAATATTCGTATCATCCCGAAACAAGTTAAAGCTGATCATGAAGATAAACAAAAACTTTATTAAAGTCAACTACTTCTTGCTGAAGAAGTCTGTGATATTCTTTTTTAACTTTTTGCGTTCGCTGTCCCTCAAGAAAGCCGCCTGAGAAGCATAGAACCATGCTGTGGTTTCTTCACTCACGCTGTCGGCATTTACTCTGCGGCGCAGGACATTGAGGGCGCGGTGGTGGTTGTCCGACGTCGACGGCAGGTTGTTGGACACGTCGGCGTCTTCACCGTCACTGTCAGACTCGGTCTCCCTTTCATCATCGACTAGTTCTTCGACAGATCGCAGCCCACAAGTCGCGACGTTGTCGTCTGCGATGACAAAGTCTTGCGCCGACGCTGGAGTCCCAAAGTTCTCCCGACCCTCGATACTTAAATTACCCTCTGGCTCTTGGTCTTCTTCCGTCAAAGCCCCGTCCTGTCTTGCAAAAAAAACGCAGTCGTGAAAACAGTTCCCAACCGTGTCCTGGGTGACATTGTCCCAGGACATGGCCAGAAAATGTAATGCGTCAAGCAGACAGATCTGCATGTTTTCGTCCTTGCACTCAATTTTCGCCAGAAGCCTTTGCACAAGCAACCCTTTGAAATGGTGCTTGACGTTTCGAATTATTTCCGCGTCCAGTGGCTGCAGACTGCTTGTGGTATTTGCGGGCAGGAACCTGGCAGGTGAAATTGGTGAAGTTGTACTGTCTCGGATGGGCCAAACATTGATCAACCAAAAGCAAAGCAAATATTTTCTATTTTTGGCTGCCATTTTCAGGTCCAAAGTTGTCAGAAACTCGCGGAAAAAATCAGCAGTCATCCAAGCTTTCTTATTTCCTTTGTACAGGCAAAGCAAACGTTCTCCTGATTGAAAGCACCTTGGATGTTTTGATTTGCCGATTACGGTCAGCTAAATTTTTTCAGAACCATCGGCATTTGTGCAAAATAGCACAGTCACCCGTTCCTTACTTTTCTGTACCGCTGGCCAGGCCTGCGAGGGGGGTACAGAAAATTATTTCACGGCGTCGGGAATCATTTTTGCTTCGATTGACCCTTTACAGAACAGCGATTCCCAAATGGACGCTGTTCCAAGCAGCACTGAGGAGGTGCGCGAGGATGCATGCTTCAGCCGTGTTCGCTCGTGTGTCTCAATTAGATATCTTGGAGTGTTTGGGCCTTCACAGCATTCAGGTATACGCAAAGGGGTCAATGGAAGATCGCTATCGGGAATAAGCATCTGTGGAGAAACAGGAAACGTTCCCTGCTTCCCAGTTTCTTCTTTGCGCCTCCAGATGGCCCCAGCTATCCAGCCTCTCGCGGTTGCGGGGGACGCGAACGCAAAGAAGTCTATAGACGAACTAAAATTCAACGATACCCGCATGTTACTTGTTAACGATGATATCTGTCTATATGCTGTACAGTCGAGCCCGCTTATAACGAACCTGAGCATGACGCGGCATCCATTCGCTGTATCCCGAAGTTCGTAGTAAATGAAACATAGCTTTTAAAAAAAGTTGTAAGTGAAAACACAAACTTTTTTTGCCCCAAAAAGTCCGTGATGCACGTGTTTCGAAGAGCAGAAATGATAAGGGCGGTTTCGAGTTCATTTAAAACGGAAGGCTGCTCGTTTGCCGAGGCCCGTGGCATAAGCTGCATAAGGCACTGGCTCCGAAGCTTCGTCGTTCTCGCAATCCAATTCTTCCAAATCACTCTCGCCATGTACTTGATTCACAATGCCCCAATCCGGGCACGGTTGCGCAGTGTCGGCATCATCATCGGCCGTAATTAAACCATCGCAACAGATGTCCCACCCGCTCTTCCAGGTCGGAGTCGACGACACGCTGCCACAAATTGCCGCCGCAGTGGTCTTGTTCGGAAACTTCAGCCATGGCATTGGGCCCGACGATTGACAAAGTCGGCCTCGCGAAAATAGTTTCACGCACATGTAGTCGTCACCGCCACCCACGAAATATTCACCATCTCCACAGCTGAATACCGGGACGCCCGAAGCGGCAAGTTGGTTGCCAGGTGGTCAACAGCTATGAGCAAGCGCTCCGCAATGCGGCACCTTTCAACGTTTTGTTGAGCGGCACGAAAAGGCGTGCTAGTCCTTTCGTCGGCTGTCTGTGACCACACACGCACACCAAGAGCAGCGAGCAAGACGCGCACACGCGACTCACATGCCAGAACGCGTGGAACAGCTCTGGGCGCGTTTCCAGTCAGAAAACGGCGCGTTTCCAGTCAGAAAACGAAATTAATTCGAGCCAGCGTGGCGGGCGTCGCAGAGCTGTGGAGATGGGCGAAGGGGTAGTGATCAAGAGAGCAGAGCAGACTTGCGAGAGAAGGGCAAGGAGTCAGAGCCAGTGCCTCATGCAGCTTATGCCAAGGGCCTCGGCGAACGAGCACCCGGCCATTTTAAGTGAACTCGAGACCGCCCTTATGACTACTGCTCTTCGAAACACGTGCATCAGACTTTTTGGGGCAAGAAAAGTATGTGTTTGCACTCGCAACTTTTTGAAAAGCTGTGTTTCCTTTACTACGAACTTCGGGATGCAGCGAACTGATGCCGCGTCACGCTCAGGTTCGTTATAAGCGGGCTCGACTGTATCCAGAACTGGAAGGGGGACTTCTCAAATATATTATCGATACTCGAAGGAACGGCTACGCTGTATTGACTGATATGATACGTGAGAAAGCCCTAAACATCGCTCACCACATGGAAATCCCTCGGACACAATTCAAGGCAAGTCGGGGATGGGCTACGCGGTTTATAAACTGGAACCAGCTCTCCATCTGCCGCCGAACGACGATTTGTCAAGGGCTGCCAAGCGAGTACACAAGTAAAGTGATAAAATTCCATCGCTTGGTCAATGGTCTTCAGAGCGAGCACGAATATGACCTCTCCCAAATTGGCAATGCGGACCAGACTCCTGTGTGGTTCGATGCGCCAGAGAGCACCACTGTGGACTAAAAAGGCGCGAAAAGTGTGGCTGTGCGCACGACCGGCGCAGAACGTCAAAGGTGCACTGTGATGCTGTGCATGACGGCAGAAAACTTCTGCCGTACGTCGTGTTCAAAAGGAAAACTCTCCTGAAAAAGAAGTTCCCTCAGGGCATCATTGTGTGTGCCCAAGAAAAGGGTTGGATGTGCGAGGAACTTGTGGACTGGTTGAAGGTTGTCGGGGAAACAGACCTGGAGACCTGCTACAGCGAAAAGCCCTCCTCGTTCTGGATAGTTTTAGGGGCCACTTGGCGGACCGCGTCAAGAACAGACTTGCCACGACCCGTACAGGCTTGGCCGTTATTCCTGGAGGACTGACGAGTGTGCTTAGCCGCTCGAGTTGTGCTATAACCGCCCATTTAAAGTGGAATTTCGCTGCTGCTGTTAAGAATGGATGGCTGGGGGCAATCATGAGAAGACGCCGACGAGGCTACGAAGCGGGCATTATTCCATCAAGTTTGTGAGTGGATTTTGAGTGCGTGACGTGCAGTTTCATTTGAAGTTGTCGCGGGAAGCTTCAAGGTAACGGGAATTTAAAACTGCATGAGTAGAACTGAGGATGATCTTCTCCGGGAGGATGCTGACACCGAGGCGAGTGCTTCCAGTGATGAAGACAGTGAGAGCGAAATGGAATCTTAATAAAAACATTCCTGGCTAGTCGTTCGTGACTCTTTCCCTCTGCTACTGTTGTGAAAACTGTACAGGCCTTTGGTGAGCTGTCATCAGCGTGATTTGTGTAAGGGCCGCACCAAGCAATAATTTTGAAAAAAAGTGTCGCCCTTACTTGAGTATATACGTATGCAGCGGCGGCGACACGAGGGACGAGAACGAGAGCCTCTGTGCGTGCGCTTGCACCACGTTTTTGTTGTACGCGTGAAGTCACGGCCGCACGGCATAGTCACGTAGCAATAAAGAAACATACACACAATAGCCAGTGATCTGCGAGAAGATAGCTGACGTACCAAACTTGTCAGGCATAGGACCCGGCCTGGAAACGAGATGGGAGGGCCCGCTGTGCCATGCCGCTTACCTTGGTGCGACTCTCCTCCTCGCAGGCTCGTATCTCGAGCAAGCGTGCCCAAGCATGACATGTTTTTTCTTTCTCGTCGGTGGGCGTAGCCGTTTCCACGGGGAGGAGGCGAGGAGAAATTTGGCTGCTTGTTCCCGCTGCTGGGAGGCTCGGGCAGCTCAGGAGGGGAAGGCAATCGCGGTGAAAAAAAAAGCATTGGCAGCCGCGGGGGCTTCTCCCCCACTTTGAGGCCAGCCGCGTCGCTCTGTTCACAAGCAGTGTCACTCGCGCGTTTGTATAATCCGAATTGGCTAGGGAAATTATTCGTATAACACCGAATTACGACATATCTTAAATAACATAGTCCGTCTGATACAACCACAAAATTCGTATCAGCCGTATTCGTATCATTGAGGTTCTACTGTAACAAAGTATTTTCGTGGCAGATCTGACCTCGTTATAGTAGTAAACTTTGAGTGCATAATTGGTGGAGGCTTTCGTGCCAAAGTGGACACGGAACGTGCTGCCGCTGGTGATGATGTTATGATTCACCTAATCTCCCTCCCCCCTCTTACCTTTGTCCTTCTCTCATCTTCTCAGGACTTGAAAGCGTTCCTTCTGAGCAAGCGCCCGGAGGCAGAGCCCTTCCTGCAGGGTCCGATTCCCTTGCAAGCTGCCTGCTCCATTGCGTCTGCGCTGGACCACATGCACAGGCATAGCTTCGTGCACGTGTGAGTAGCATTCTGTGCGCACTTGTGAGGGTCTGAAAGTTTAAACCATTCGAGGGTTACTGACGTACATGCACGTCGTCCGCTAACAGCCGCAACTTGTTGTACAGTTATAACAAGCGAGATGAAAAGCCCACCATCTACAGTTTCTGTTCAAACAAACCTGGGCCTTTTGATTGCGAAGCAGGCATTCTTCTACTGCACTACTTCGGCGGAGCTGTGTGCGACGCTTTAGACAACAACGACCTGTGGGTTACTGATCACAGCGCCAGAATACCATTTTTGGGCTTCTATTTTCTAAAAGCTGGTTCTGAGCAGGCCCCTTTTGGGTATATAGTACATTCTGGCCATATGCAGCTTTGCTGTAAGATGATGCCCTCTCCTCCCTGCCATTGCACGTGTAGATACTCCAGGGATGCATTGTAAGGCCTACGCCAGTGTCCTGTGCTGCATGGATCATTCAGAGGGGCTCTCGTTGGTTTGAACTCTGTTACATTGAAACGTAATTTTGGTACCCTTGGAATTCCAATTATCGAAGCTTAGGCTAACTTTGTGATGATTTGTGATGCAGTGACTTGGCGGCCCGCAGCTGTGTCATCGATCGAAACCAGGTTGTCAAGGTTGGTGACTATGGCACTTCCCTGCAGGCCTATAAAGTGAGTGAAGGCTTGTACTGCCATGAAAATTAAAAGAGTGGGTAGAACCGTATTTACGCATTTGTAAGTCGACCTGAATGTAGGTCAACCTGCAGAGGAAAAAAGGCACAAGTACATTTCATTAAAATAAAAATTTGCCATCTCCGGCTAAAAGGAACCATGGTAAATGTGAAGCAGTGGGTGCTAACGCTTACACTGGCAGCGAGGGCATTGACGCTGGCACTCATCGCGGCGTTGCGCAGGATAGAAACCCAGGGAGGCACTAAGCATGCAGTTATTTATTTATTTATTTCCAACACAAAAAGTTGGGGGTTCCCCAGGCAAAAAAGCTGTTGAAAAACAGCTCAAAGGGACCTGGGGGACCGTACAGGCAGCAGCGAATAAAAAGTATAACTAACACGACATGATACAACTTACACAACTTGACAAGATATAATAGCATCGGTAAATAGCAAAGTAGATATAAGGAGGTACAACAAAAATGCACAGATACAGCGAAATGAATGTAACAGGAAAATGCATCAGAAATTAAAATACACCCATATAACTAAGATAACCGCACATACCGAAAATGTAAACGTTTGAACGTATAAAAAATGCCATGCAAGAACAGTGGTGCAGTGACAGTTAATGAGGTTATGCTGTTACGACTGCACAGTCATTTAATAGGAAAAGTCTTATTGTTTTTTAAATCTATGGATTGGGATATCAAAATTTATTTGTGAAGATACACGATTTATTAGTGCAGGTATCTGACAAGTGAGGGCTGACCTTCCGTAGTTCGTACGTGTTCTTGGTATTGGTGTCTGTGTATTACGTAGTGGATAACGTCTTGATGTTGCATGTGCCAAGTCTGTCAGATCATGTTTCTGTATGTGCAGGAGGAGTTTATAATCGTATAATTTGGTTGCTTTAAGCAAATTATACTTAACAAATGAAGGATTTGTGGGAAAGTCTTTTGGCTCACCAAAATAATTCTCGAAAAGTCTGAGCACTTTCTTTTGCATTGTTTCCAGTTTGTAGCAATTAGTAGTTGTTGTGGTACCCCAAACAAGTGTGCAATAAGATAAGATGAAACTGTGTTTCTAACTGGAACCTGCCAATCGCTACTGATGGGCAGTGAGAGACGGACGACTCCGATTAGACTCTGAGACCTGCAGTCAGCTTTTAGTTAATGCGCACGCTGCAAATTTTAATTGTACAGCAGCGCACAGGAGAATTCTCCCACCGGCGCCACCTTGGAGGTCAAGATTTCGTGCCTATACACTCAAACTTCATTGTTACACGAAAATAACTTCGTAACTTTTGAAAATTCGTTATAAAGGTATATTTCTAGCACTGTATCTATTACAAGAGTACTTTTCATTGACTTCGTTATAACCGATATTTTTTTATATCTGGGTTCGTTATATTGAGGTTTGAGTGTATATACAGGGTGGTCAGTGAACTGTTGTGAAGCGGGAGCAGCCGTTTTTTTCACTAAAATAAACTCTCTAGCAGACGCTGCCTGCATCGGCGTTGCAAGGCGAGAGATAGGGATTGTTGGAAAGGGTGGAGGGGATGCACATGTGCAATGGCACTGTAGATGCCTCAGGGAGGAATGTCTAGACAGGTGGAAGCAAGTGCAAGCAGGTGGTAGGAGAGAAGTGGAGAGAGTAACGTGCAGCAGTTGGAGAGAGGGAAGAAGAGTTGCACATGCGTAGTGCGAGTGTGGACACCAATGCCATGGGACATAGGCCCAAGCAAGAGATGCTTCATATCTAAAAATTTATTTACAATTTATCTGAAACAAACGAGGTCAAATTCCAGGGTGCCAAGGTGTCTTCATGGCAGTTCTTGAAAGCTGTACAAAAAAGGTAGCTTCCCGAAAATTTTCGGGGGTTATTTTCAGAAAGACTTTGCAACCGAAATTAGCTTTCGATTCTAAGTCGACCCCCAACCTCAAATGTCAAATATGACAAAATGGGCCAACCTAAAAAAATATGTAGACACCGCACGCGAGAACGAAGATATATGTGCTGGATGAGTTTTCATTTTTTTTAGTGAATACAGTTAAATCTCTGTAGAATGAACCCCACATCAACGAACTTTTCAGATTAACGAACTTTAAACAATCCCACACCAACTGCTAATAGTTTTAATGTAAAATTATTTCACTACTACGTACTTTAGAATACCGAACTTTTCAGAATAACGAGCATTAATTTAGTTCCACGTTATATTAACGTCTTAATACTACGAACTTATGTTCTGAAATCCGTCACGACCACCAGAGCGGTACGCAAGCAGAGGACAAAGCGAACGGATGCCTTGCTTCTCAGAAGACGTGCGACGATGTGGAGGAAAAAAAAAAGAAAGGGCAACTTTCTTTTCTTTCTTTTTGTTGAAATGCCGACGCTGCAGGTTTACAAGCCGTGTTTACAAGCGAGCGCAGAGGCGAGGGCAACATGGGAGGGCAAGGTCAACGAGGCAGTGTGGGAGTTGCGGAGCAGGAAGCATGGGTGCGGAAAATCTGAGACAGCGAGAGAGCAAAAAAAGAAACGCGAGGAATTTCCTTTTTTAGCACTTTTTTTTCTTCGAAAGAGGTGATGACAGCCGTGACGCTTCAGATTTTTCTTTGGAGGCCTTGTTTTTTCAGTCGTATTCATCTGTTTTCGGTGATTACTTATCGGGTTTGCAAAGCAAGTCGGCGTTCGCGCTGTGGTGATACTACAAATGAGTTCATCTCGGCTTGTGACGAAGAAACGGAAGCAGTTTTCGCCAAGTGAGATAATGGATATTCTTCGGCAACTGGAAAGTAAAAAGCAGGCTGTTATGACCAAAGAACCGAATCGCACCACAGGATTGTGGATGAGCTGGAGGCCTTCGCGCTGCAAAGTTTGTGCTGTTTGTGTCAAAAAACAAAACAAAACAAAAAAAAATCACGTACTTTTTTAAGGTCAACATGCATATTTTGGTGTTTACTAGTGCATTCGTTTTTTTTTTCTCATGAAAAACGAGTTCAAAGACCCACCGTCGTGAAGGTAAGTCGTTTTGGTCGGTGAAAAATAAGTATTCCTGGTTAATTTTCGAGCTTTCACTATAGCAACCTTTCAAAATAACGAACAAATTTTCACGGTGCCCTGAAGTTTGTTAAACCAAGATTTCACTGTAATCAGTTTGTCAGGCAAATCTTCAATGAAAGGTGGTAAGACATTGAAGTGCAAACATGAGAGAAGATAATTACACAGTTGATACAGTGCTGTTTACTTATAACGATATACGAGTGCCAAGGAAATTCTCTGTTATAATTTATAATTGTAGTAAGCGGGTTGAGAAAAAGAAAAGACAAAAGAGATTGAAACATTTTATTTGCATCCAAGTAAGGTAGTCCAACTATGTATCTGTTTGCAGAAAAGCCATAGGCTGTAAGCTACGATTGCTTCACGCGAATCTTGCGCACATGGTTTTCTCAAGAGAATTAAGGTGCCCCTTTACATAGCTGAGCGGGAGATCCTTTGCAAAAATGAAGTCCCGGAGGGTCTGTATCGTTCGTTGGGCCTTCTGCAATGACAGAACTTGGCTTGGCTGTTTAACGAAAGGTAGTTGTGGAGAAAGACATTGAAAGCACGGCACATACAACAAGCAAATGAATGGTGCGGGCCAGCGTTGGTGCAACTGATTCACGGACGAGCCCAGAGCGGCAACCCCAGGAGGGGAGTTTGGAACGAAAGCTCCTTATCTTCTTGCTTCCTCGTAAGCGGCACAGCCGACTTGCTCTCTGATGAGGTGGACAGGGCGCTAGGTGTACCGCGGCGCATGCTGTCGGCACAGAGAGCCATTTTTGACACATGCTGTAGGCTGGTTCACTCGCTGTATCTGATATCGGGGCTCTAGAGAATCGTAATAACAGTTTATTTTACCATAGCAAGCGTGCAAAAGTGGGCATCGCCATTGTTGTTTGTTATATCCAGTATATTGCTTGAATGGCATCATTATAGATGGATCTGACTAGTTTCAGTGATACTGAGTATACTTGTCTGCATCTCTCCTCTTGTGTCCATATTTCTATGCCTTACCTTCTGTCATTATGAATCTCTATCAACTTTCTGAATGTTGTGAATCGTTTTTGTCTAACACAACAGTTCAACTTATTGGCATTGTTAAAATGGAAACTTGCCTAAACACAGCACAGTGTTTCAATTCATTGGTGTCATCAGTGACCATCTGAGGAGCCAGTTATGCGCATTACAATGCTGACCTCTTCCAGGACGACTACCACCTGGTGGGTGAGGTGGCTGTGCCACTGCGCTGGACAGCCCCCGAATCTCTGCACTGCACCGTTCTAGCACTGGAAGCCCGAGAACTTACAAAGGAGGCCAATGTCTGGTAAGTGGCAATTCATAACTGCCCGTTATTTCATTAGCCTTTTACATGTGTGCATTTGAACGTTGAAGTCAGTGCTCTCAGAAGGGGGCAGTGTTTAAAATTTGAATAATCCGCCCTCCCTGGCCCACCAGGGTTTCACTGCCAGGGGAGAAATTGGGTCTGTGCGATTCGATCCGGCCAATGAGAAAAATCCGTTCCTTTTGGTCTTTTAGCTGGCTATCTGGCAATCTGCTCAAGCTCTTCTTTTTGCAGTTGTTTCAAAAAGACCATAGAGTTTCCTATATATAAACCATAGGGAACTCTGGCAGTGTCTATGGGGAGCTGCAATGCACGGCTCTTCAGTGAGCATGGGAATGATGGGTAGTACACAAATTTGTCAAATCTTCGTACTTTTAGCTTCATTTCGCTTCGCGTGGCTTGAAGCTGCTTCGCATGAAACGACAATCGGCAAATCTTCTGCAGCTGCACTTCACCACCTTGACCTTTTAAGCTCACTAATTCAAATCGGGTCACGAAGTTCATAGTGGTTCGTTCTTTTATTAAAAATCAAACGAAAATGCAACAGCAAACAAAGCCACAAGTGCATTTAAGGGGGGAGGTGGCATTGAAAAAAAACTTTTTTATTTGTTGACCTACAGCAATGAAATTTGGCATGCATACTTATAAGTGTCTAGAATAGGGAAATATGCAGTTTCATCATGATAGCTTCAGTAGTTCTCAAGTTACATAATGCTACACGATCCAATTATATGGTCTGCTCGTGGAAAGCCTAGCGCTGCAACAAAACATGCCAGGAAGCTGCGAATGGTGTTGATCTTTACTCAAAAGAAAGCTACAGGGTATGGCACTCTCGTAATTTTTTAATAAGTTCTCTTTTTTTTTAGAGATCATCATGGCTGCCGACACACATTGTCAGAAACAATGACACGGACAAATCATCGTCTAGAAAAATAAAGGGCCATAAAACAGAAATTGAAGATTGCTGTACCCACAAGCAGTGTTCAGGGATTCAGGGAAAAAAAACAGAATCAAAATCGGTTTAGTCATTCTCGTGCTACTCTTTCCACGAGTAATGCACAATGTCCAAAACACACTTGTGAGAAAAAGCCTGTCGAAGTTTTTGACAGGCTTCTTTCAATGAACTTTTGTGTTTCTTGTTGGATATTGATGAAAATTCGCACAGACACTAAGAACAACCTCACAGTGCTTCCATAAAAATTTTAAAGCGATACCACGAATACTTTACGAGAAACAAATTATTTCTTCATTGAACCATGTGGAGGGCCTGAGCATAATGTCAAAAAAAAAAAAAAACAGTATTGAGAAAGCTGCGTTTAAAGTTTCAACTTTTTTTTACGTCTCTAAGACACCTAAAAATTGTGATCTCAGGTTTGTCTTGTGATATTTGACTTCTTTTCATGATTTACTCCTTTTCATGAGTTAGAAAGAACAAGTATGGATTTCAAACCAAGTTCTTTGTATGGAGGAGTGGTGTGATAGGTATGACATAAAAGATTGTAATTGAATAAAACCATATACTGACATTATTACACATACTTTTTTGTGCTAAAGTTGTAATTAGCGTAATTAAGTACTTGATTACAAATATTCACTGAACTTTTTTTTATTTGGAGAGGAGTTTATTGCATCAGAAAAATGGATCACACCATGACGGCCTATGCCTTCTTTCTAAATAACAAAGTTATGGGCAGAAGACTGGTGGCACGGGAATTTCTAGCAGTATAATTAATGACACGAAACGGGCATATAAAAATTCGTGCCCCTGATTCACACATGCTCTTTCGCCGCTCTAGCCGTGAAACGCATCATCACACAGCCGGTCGCGGAAACTCTAACCTACAGCAATTCATTAACCTCGGAACATTCATACACGTTCGTGGCGATATCAAGCACGGCTCCAAGCACGTCTGAATCGCATCACAAAAGCTTACTGACAGCACTCCATATGACCGTGGAGTGCGCGGCCGCGTGGACAGTGCAGCCGGCGCGTAATGCACTTGCCGGCGGCATTCGATGACGATGCGCGAAATGTGTAACTACGAAGACAAAAAATCGGCACGCACTGCACTTGGAATCGCATTTTCGAATGACGACGCGCGAAACTGCTAGCCGCTGTTCCGAGCGATCCTTGGCAGTGAAGCGGGGGGGGGGGGGGGGGGTGACGAGCTTGACTGTGTTGTCTGCTGCCGATTCGTAAAATGCCCGTACAATATTCAGAGGAGCTAGCGAGTGATGTGGTACATTCCTTGCGAAGAAGCACGTCACCAAGAGTGCGCTTGCGCGTCGTTCCTGCCCGCAGTCTCGCTGTCAGCAGAGTTAGGCCTAAAGCCGACTCCGATGACGCGCCGCACTCGTAGACCGCCGCGCGCCCGCTCGTAGTAATCTGATCGTGCATCCGGTGCGGCCACTCGTAGTAATCAGATCGTGCCGCCGCTTACAGCTTCGTTGCTTGCGAAGAAGCACATCGCCACGAATGCGCTAGCGCGTCGTTCCTGTCCGCAGTCTGCGGAGTTAGGGCTAAAGACGACTCTAATGACGCGCGGCGCTCGTAGACCGCGCTCACGCTCGTAGTAACCTGATCGCGCATCCGCTTACTGCTCGTAACTAAAGCGTAGTTATATCTTAAGTGATTATCAAGCCGTGAACACGTCACGAAGTGGCGATTTTCGAGCGCCATGTCCTCGCGACGCACAAGCAGCAGACGACGATCTCCCGGAGCGAGCATCGGGCCAATGGCGAGGCGAGCTGAGGCAACATGGCGGCCACGGCCAATCAAGGGCCTCAAAACGACCTTCAAACACTTGCTTTTTGCTCGCTTGTTGTTAAAGGGAGGAGCCATCTGAGGCGGGAAAGTTAAACACGGAGAAATGTTCTTTCCGATGAGCCCAAGAAGCCGGCTTTCGGCCCAAGCATCGCGAAGCTATAATTTTTTGAAAATAGCCGTTTTCTCGCCATTTCCAAAAAAACTTTTGCTACCTAGGTGGGTGAAACAAATTTTCCGAAGCACTTCTGCGCGGTTTTCAGTGCAGATATTTTGGAACCAGATAGAAAAAGGGTTCCAGAAACTGAAAACTTGAGTTTCGAAAAATCGATTTTTTTGCCATTTTTCGCGATCCCAAAGCCGCGTCCCCCCTTAAAGCCTGCAAGTACGAAGACTAGGCAAATTTGTGGGCTACCCATCATTCCCGTGGTGGCTGAATGATTGCAGGGCCAGAGTCCTTAGAGTTAATTTAAGGAAACTTTACGGAAAATACATTTGGGAGTGTGCTTGTTTGGATGTGCACACCTGAATCACATGGGAGAGACTGTGTTTTGGAAGCCGTGCGGACAAAGCATAATTGTGCGGTTATGTTCAATCGTTAATGCCCTTGTGCCATCTTGAGCAATAACATTTTTTGCTTTTGTGTCGTAGAAAGAGGTTGTGAAAGTCTTTGGTAAAAGTTATTGCATTTATGTGATGATTTATTGTGCCTACATTTACGACTTTGGGAGCCTAGAATGTTGGAACATTGTTTTGCCTGCCTATTTACGGTGCCTAAAGTGCACTTTTTTAATGTGTAAAAATTTGGCCTCCATTGATCATGCATGTATAAAAACCAACTTTTTTTTGGCAACAGTCAGTTTGATCGATGTCACCCGCCCTAATCATGTGAATTGCTTGAAATTTAGCGCAATACTTTTATTCAGTTGGATCTTTTAAGTCATTTTTTAATGCACAGGGTCACGGCTACGCATCATTTTTTTATGGTAATGGCGATAAAGGAGTTGTCATGTGCCATTCAAAGAACTGCTTACGTCCTGCTTTTAGGCCTGGCAAGCTGTGACCTTTGTTAGAAACATGTCATTGCTTCATTTTTTCATTCATGCTTTAAATGTGGTTAAAATTGCCCTCCATCCCCCCGCGTTCTAATGGAGGATCCTGCACACGCCTATGGTGATACCACAGGCTTTTGTTGCGCATTGTATTTTGTGGGCCAATGCGTTCCAGTTGACCACGATCTTTTCCCCTGCTTTCATTTGCAGGAGCTTTGGGGTGCTGCTGTGGGAATTGCTGTCCCTGGGAGCCCTGCCGTACGAGGGCCTGACGGACGAAGAGGTCTTGAGGAGGGTGGTGGTGCAGCGCGACCTGGTGCCCACCAGGCCCACCACACCGGCCGGCCGACACACCGACCGCCTGTGAGCACTCTTACAACTTTACACCTGATCTGTAATCATCACAACCATCTATTGTCTCTTAACGATCCTTTTCATGATTGGCCAATGTAGGGACAGTGTGTTAAAGGACAGGAAAGGAACTAGCAAATATTTTCTTGTTTGCAAGGAAATTAGTTCAGCTTTGGAGCAGGAGATAACCGGCACATATTTAATGACATCAGGCCACTAGGTCCACTTACTAGAACTCGGGCTAATATTGAAGACAAGCCACTGTAGTTATTCTGCTATAACGCGTGCCATTTTTCCAAAATACCTCTCGAAATTGTGCGCATATATTGTCCTAACAGCAGATGGATGCGACATGACTATCAAGGCATTGTTGGCATAATTGGCATTGAAAGATTCTGAGAGAGCACGGATTTGCAACACGTGCAATGATAATGAAGCACTGATTTCATTATGAAAATTTATTCAGAAAACGAAATTCTTTGAACTTAATCAGTCGCAGCAAAGCTTCGTCATGTGCTGTCAACATTCTAGAAACTTGGCAGCAGAAGGGAGTGAATTGGCAAATTATTTAGTTAATTGCTTAATTGGTATGAAGGGCACTTTGAAAGTTACAGGAATGGAGTGAATAAATCTTCACTCTTGTGTTGGTACATTGTAGTCATGCTGTGGCCCTGAACACACTGCAATCTTGCTCCCTGTTTATCGAATTGGACTACGTACACATTCGAAGTCCACTAAATGCTCATGAAGAAGCTATCAATGAATGCTCTGAACATATCCTCATGCAGGAGTGTCATGCCTAGTAAATCAAATGGAAGTATGTAGATGGTGCGATGAAGCTGACTCAGAGGAAAAACACAGGACTTAGTTGTTATGAATTCGTTACAAGTCTGAAATGGATAGCCAAGTACAGCACCTGAATTAGTTTGAGAAGTGTAGTTAGATCACTGGACCACCTGACGTTTGATTGTTCCTACCTGTCACAGGTACCAAGTTGCCACCTGGTGCTGGAGCGAAGTCCCTGCTGAACGGCCATCGGTGCACGAGCTCCGCGAGCTGCTCGGGCACCTCCAGCGCGAGAACAGCGACGCGCACGACTTTGAGTCTCGATGGTGTGCACTGCGGCCCGACCGCGTCAAAGATTACAATCTCGCCCCGAACCACCCGGCCGCACTGTCCCTTTCCCGGCTTGGCTTCGAGAGTGACTTCGTGGCTGCCAGCCTCCAGAACCTCCACGGGAGCGCGGAAGACCTGCGCACCGAGCCGACCGTAGAAGAGGAGGAGGAACTTACTTCGTTCCACATCTCGGAGGCAATCAGAGACTTGGATGCGATCCTGGCGGCGGAGTCAGGGTCGACGGCGTCCGTCGACCTGCCCAGCGAGTCCACGCCCAGGCAGGATAGCCTCGGCAACGAGTCTGTCGACTCGAGAGAGCTCAATTCTCTCGGCTTCAAGAAGAGCGCCTCGGTGGAAGACCTGCTTCGCGAAGGGCCCGAGAAGGTGGCGGAGATGTTCCGCATCACGGTCATTGACGACGTGGACGCCAGCGGCAGCGAGCCGCGCAGCCTCGGTGCGGACTCCGACATCTGGAGGCGACTTGACGACGGACCTTCTGTGCAGACTCCTGGAAACGGTGCAGTGAACGGCAGTGTTGTCGGGGGCAGTTTGGTGTCACCGAATGTGGGTATCTGGGGCAGCGTTGGTGGTGGGGACACAGTGCCAGTTGCGGAAGTGGTCCCACGTCAAGCCGAAAGCGACGGCATTCTGCGGAGCACGGCGGCCCCCGAGGACGTAAGTAGCCACGGAGGAGTCTCGGGACGGTTTGGTGGTGGTTGCACTTCGGCACGTGACTGTTTCCCGAACCCTTCAGCCGCTAACTCCATCGACCGTGGCACGCTGAGCACTAACACCCCAGACGCTTCCTCCGGTGATGCCCGGCGGGAAGCCAACACTGATCTGTGCCCCCCTGTGTTCACTTGCAGCCAGAGCGGCGACGACTCTGAGACGCCGACGCCTGCTGCCGCGGCGCCCGAGCCCGTGACGCAAGGCGGCAGCAATGACAGCCGTGACAGTGCTTCGTACGTGACGGCGCCGGAGTCGGAGGAGTCGAGCTATGGGCTGGTGCCGGAACTCTTGGAACGGGCCGCGTCTGAGTCGGACACAATGTTTCTGACCGCCATGCCAGATGGCGACAACACATCTGACTGCTCCGACGCAACTCTGGCAGACGACGACAACTTTGCGAGTCCGCTGGCACATGGTGTGCGTTCTTCGTCGCCGCCTGGGGAATGGCATAGCCCCGGCGTGTCTCCCATCCCAAAGTGTGCGTCGTGGAACCTGGGGGACGATGTGGAGGAGTCGGCGCTTTCAGACCTGACTGTAGACGATGATGTGGGGAAGGGGGGTTCCTCGTATGAAGACTCGCTCGCCATCACCGAGAATTCAACGGTGAACGAGATGCGCAGGATTGCTAATGAGGCAGCGGCACAGCACCACCAGTCCATGCAGAATGAGCCAGTGCTGGCCAATGGAGATTTGTGCAATGGGCCAGAAGCATTAGACGATGGTGAGCTCTTTTGCATAGCATTCGTCTCGTGAGGCAGTTGCACATTTGGTCTGTGCTGATTAGCATTATTAACTCTTTGTAGGCAAAAGCTGAAGGCACATCAGGCCTGAATGCAGCTTTAACAAGCACCTTATAGTAGAACCTCGTTGATACATTTCTAAATAAAGAGAGAGAGAAATAAATGCATCATATAGGAATAGGAGTGATTCAAATTCAATAAAAAATGATGCTGGCGAGCTTGTATTGAGGTTCTGGGGAAAAAAAAGCATTTATTTCTCAAAAAACAAAGTGAAACTCTTCGTTTTTCGAATTTCTGGCAGCTTGCTGGCAGCCAGAAGTTAGCCAGTTAGTTCCCGGTCCGGGTAGGAATCAACAGCACAATCACGCCTGTTGAAGTCCTGAGACAATTCGAAGGTCGCAAGATTGAACGCTGGGTCAAACAGTGTAAGTGTGAAGAAATGCTACTGCTGTGGCAACAAATGAGACTTTGTGCCACGTCAGTGTCGGTGCTTTCTGCACTGTCATTCGGAAATGTGTTGCTAGGTTTGCGGAAAAGTGGCGGCGGCATTCTCGAACGCATTGGGAACACCATCACGTCCGTTCGCAAGATCACACTTGACTTTCCCCATTCAGGAAGAAAGCTGTCGCACTGGTAATGGCTTAGTAAGCTCAACTCTGTACAGCGCATGCAACTATTTCAGCACAACACTATGTGAAATTTAGCAACAGTGATATTGTTCTCAAAAGCGACGGCTGTTCGCGGCTATTGCGTGCCATGGTGCACACATGCACGGATTATTTTGCGTTCTTTCTTGACTGCAGTAGTACATTCGCATTGCACCTGCATTGCGAACCGTTGAGTCCCCACAAAGATGGTGGCGAGTATGCATTTTCTCTGCTCGAGATGAACTTGGGAGAAAGGCTCACTACAATTATAAGCAGACATTATTAATGTCTTGACCAGCGCTTCATATTCATCAAACCAGCTTACCCTCTCATACTATTTGGGTTCACACCAAGTTAAGGGGGCAATCACGAGAGTATCACGAGAGTTTACAGTTTGCAAACGCAAAGAAATTGTTTTCACTTAGTATTTTATACATGCTCTCCAAATCCTATGTGCAAAGGACGCTGTACTGCATACCTAGAAAACGAAATAAGTCGCCTCTGCGTACCGTCGAATAGTGTTAGTACTCCTTTAAGCAAATCCCATTGTAACTCAGGGTGTCACAGGTGTCGAAACTGATGCCGCAGTACACGATAAAAAAAAAGCGCTACTTTCTTGCCGAACAGGGGACTACAGTGACGACGAAGGGCTTGTGGAATACGACCTCAACGACATCTCCGCGGCTCTGGACGACGATGCTGAAGGCAGCGGAGGCGGTGGGCTGCCGTCACCACGGTCGGCCTGGCCTCCGCTCGAAGACTCGCCCATGTGCGGTGAGGAAGAAGAGATTCTGATGGTGAACACACTGACGCATGAGATCACCGTAAGGCCAGCTGCGGGCATAGTCTTCGACGGCCGCGAGGTGCTTGCCGGTGTGGAAGAGGGGGAAGATGGGGAAGCCAGCCCTCTGGGAACACCCGAACGAAAGCAGCAAGTGGACAGGTTAGTGTTAACTTGTTTGTAATATTTCTATTACGACAGTGATTGCACTACCACTCAAGGCGCATTTATGGGATAACTGTGGCTCTCCGTATAAACTCGAAGGGTGAGAACATTGCCCTGTGTGTCTTGCGTTTTACATGCAAGTGGAAACATGCAAGCGTGGCCAATAATCGTGGCTCAAGGGGACATGAAATGTGCCAGCCATGTTTTGTCGCATGCAGGTACTGTGGACGTAGTGGGAAGGGGGAAGGGCTTATCGCTTATACATTTTTTAATGCAGCCTTTAACGCCTTGCCTTCACTTTACTTTCTCTATTGTGACTTTTTGCATTTTGATGCAGGAAGCGCGATGGTCTGGCTGATGATGCCGAAGACACGGATGACACGAGCAGCACGGGAACGTCGTGCACCTCCACGTCGGGCTCATTCGAGTGCCTGGCACAAGAGGAGGCTGACGGCACGGTGGAAGGCGTGGTAAACGGCACGGTAGATGGTATGGTGGATGGTGTAGTGAAAGTGGGAAGCGCTGTGGCAACGCCTCCGGCTCAGCGACCGCGCAGCTTGGAATGCAGTCCCACCTCCCCGAGGCGCGTCAGCACTTGGGACCGTAGGGCCACGCCCACCAAGTCTGCTCTCAAGTCGGCCAGCGGCAACAAGCGAAAGCCTAGTGCGGGAAAGGTGTGCATTGTGCAAGTTCTGTGTGACGTGTTTCAAGTGTACGTTTGCACAATAGAGCGGATGTCAAGGCTACTGGCAGTATGAAAACTATGCAGTCGAGCCTCTTTATAAGAGGCGCTGATGTAAGAGACAATTAGGTATAGGAGACACAAGTGTGGCTACATTCAAAGAGGGGTTGATGAGAAAATGCATACATAGCACTCTGCTTATAAGAAACATCTCATATAAAAGACAAAATTTGCTCCCCGGTGGTTGCCTGGTATTAAGGGGTTCAATTGTATTCAATCACAACCCGAGAATAAATGCAAGCTTTGTCAACAGTCATGGCTGTTCTACGCAGAGCCTACCCAGAGAAAATTGGAATAGAAGCTTCATTCAATTGCATTTGCTCATTGCTGCGATGTCCAGCAACTTTCACGTACTGCAGTTTAATGATTTTCCCATAGTGACTCTTTCGTGTTACTGGTTTTCAGTAGAAAATATGGTGGGAAAACGTAATATTTTAAGTAGGTGTGACCTGCTGTAAAAACCCGCATATAGCCTGAGGGGTTTTTTTTTAGATTTCACTATGCAAAATTTCTGGGTCGTACTATATGCGGATCCCAAAAATTTTCAGCCCAAATTTCCTAGTTTTGGTTTTGGCAATAGGTGGTGCTGTCACCATCATCAGGTGTCTGCACGCTTCTGCGGTAGATAGTGTTGTAGTGTTAGTGACGTTAGTCCTACAAGCGTGCAGCAGTGAGAAGCCAGTGAGAAGCATGTGGCTAGGCACTTGTGGTGATCTCACACCAGTGTTTTAGGACTTGTGAAACTGATAGCCTTGCGCAGCAACCTACTTGAGAGTACAGTGAACCGCCGATTTTTGGGATGTCCGATTTTTCTAGTTCTTTTGCTGTTCCTAGGTGGCCTAGAAAATGGAATGGCCACCTATTCATGTTTGTCTAATCTTTTCTGCTGTTCTCATTATTGGTGGTAGCATGTCTAGTAGTATTATACTTTTCTCCAACAGCCTGCCATCCGTCTTGTTTTTTTTTCCGTAGAGGCCATTCATAACAATGATTGGTGATGACTATAGAAATTTGTGGCACTCAAATATTTTTGTTAGTAGATTCGATTTTACAAGTGTCCAATAGTGACAGAAAGTGAACCCAATTAGGCACATATGGTACAGGAGTAAGTGCAGACAAGAGTTCACGTGACTAATAGCTCGAGCAAATATTGGAGATTGAGTACCCACGTACTCTGCCGACCAATGAACAGTACTTTAGTTCTCCAAAGTAGTGTGGCTGTTTGTCTTTATACATTATTTAAATATATATATATCTATATTTGGTGGGTGAAATCAGTTATATGATGAGCCATTTAGCACTTGACAGGCACTCTGCAACTTTCAAAATTTTCCCGGCGCTGAATTCCAGCAGTGGGATGTTCAGTTCTGTAAAGAGGAGTGTGGCTCCGCTGAAAAATGTTTTTTCTTCTTGCAGGGCTCAACTTCACTGCGCAAGACTGTGTCATTCCATGACGTCATCTCCTCAGTGCACCACTACTCGGCTGACGAGGAGGCACCTCCGTCACCCCCGCCATCTGCGCCGCCGTCGGCGTTCGACTATGCCGGCCTCAAAGGTAAAAACTAAGTTTCTGAAGATTCTATTACCAGGCGTTCAAGGCTTCATCTTGTTCACTATGAATATACATATAGCGAGCTCTGTACTGCACAGGTAAAAAAATTCAATGTTGTAGCGGGTTACTGTAATTCTGGTCAATTCATATTTCCATCCCGTATTGCCGTTACAAAGTCTTGAAAGTGTTTTAGCCATGAGACCGGTGCTCGATGCACAAGATATAGCTATGATGATAACTATTATTATGGTTGTGGCTAGCTTGATGCGAGTAAGGTAGCTAATTGCTAATCACAGAGTCATTGTTTCATTGAGTGTCCTTGAGATTAAGAATTTTTATAGCAACTAGTTCAGATTGTGCTGCTACCAAACATATGCTCTGGCAAAGAAGTAGAACACGCTTGTTTACATTCTGTGCTTGCCTGGTTATGTGTTTCATTACCAGGTGAAACCACCTTTCCGGGCTGCTCAATTTCGACTGGTGGTGCCGTATTTGGGTAAAATGCTAACGCAAAGAAGTGTTGCGGACAAACTAAATTGTCAGGTATTGTTTTAGAAGGCACGAGTTTGCGGATAGCGGCACTTGGGCGTGCAACCCAGAATGCTTCTATTCGTTTTCCGTTTTCTCTGTGCTTTTTGCTGCCATTAGCCATCTGTGATTCATCGAAGTGTCACCGACTGCTAATGGCAGCGACAAGCATGGAAAAAAGGAAAAGAATTGTTCCGCGACTGCACCCCAACATTGCATTGACAAAACTAATGATGTTTAAGACAACCCTAGTACGAGCCACCTTTCGCACGATGCGAAAGAGCTTTCAAGCACTAAAGTTTGTGCTTGTGCACTCTTTAGCTGTTGTGGTATTACTGTATGTATAAGCCAGTCGTGTGAGTATGTAGTTAATAAATTTCATCTTGATTTTTGCGCTAGATGAGAGAAGATGGGACAGGCACTACTTACAATTGATTTATTGCAGTGATTGCAATGTGAAATATGCAGCACAGGACGAGCGACAGAGGGCATATCAAGACGGCACCACTTATCAGGCTAAAGATATGTTGCATAATAAAAACCTAAGCGCGCTCTTAAAATGTTAAATATTTGAAGAAGCAAAGGTCGATGATGTGACTAGCACGTGAAGCGTGCGGTGCATCTTTCAGACTTGACATTTGGAATGGCCAAGAATGGACGCGTTGCAACAGTGCTCGAGGCAATGAAGTCGCCCCATTTTTCATCTTACCAACTAGGAGGCTTCCTTTCTTCTACATGAAAATCCTAATCTCCCTCGCAAGACAACACCACAGATATGTGGTGTCGTCTTGTTGTCTTTATATGCATTCAGTTTGTCTCTATGCTACCATGAAAATACTATATACATTTTATTGTAGACATTGCAGTAAATCAGCTGCTAGTCGCACCTGTCCTGTCTATTCTCATGTGTTTGTATTGCTCTCTTAGCGTAACAATCAAGCTGTTATGTGCGTGTTTGGTGCTCAGCTGCTAACCCGCAGGTCGCAGTTTGATCCAGACTGCGGTGGTTGAATTTCGATAGAGGCGGTATGGTAGAGGCCTGTGTACAGTGCTATGTCAGTGCACATTAAGGAACACCAGATGGTCGAAATTTCTGGAGCATTAAGGTGTCTCTCATAATCATATGGTAGTTTGGGGACTAAGAGCCCCAGATGTTATTACTAAGCTGTTATGCACTCACATAACTCGCCCAGGAATAAGCTCTTATTACTAAATAAATTTATCGTGTTCACTTGAACGTAACGCGAGTTTTTTTCAAAAGTTCTCTGCAGTGATTTGGGGGTCCGCTTTATAATTGAAGCACCTCAAATATTGCCTTGGCGGTGCCGCCCCACTGGTTCCTTAAAATGGCTACGACAAACCTAGCGATCTTTGAACCTTTTGCTGGCAAAATCGAATTGAATTCAATCCAATCCTATTGCTTGGGACGTGCACATGGCAACGTGTTTTGCGGGTGGTTCACTTTCTTTGTGCTTCCGCGACTTCGGCTCGAGCAAATGGCAGCGTGATGAGTTCAGTACGAAGCCCGCTTTAAGAAAAGAGCAATACAGTGGAACTTCGATTATACGACTTTCAGGGGACCACGCAAAATCGACGTATAATCCGGGCGTCCTGTAATAGAAAAATCAAGAATATAGGCACTGATTGTCATTGTTGCCCCACAACAGTTGTCACATAATGCGTAAGAAAATCCGCGGCACAAATCCACGCTGCTCCGATGAAGGTAGATTAAATTACTTGAAAAAATGACAACTACACATTTTATCGGAGGTGTGAAGAAATCTTTATTCTCGCCTTTTAAAAAAATCTGATTTTTTTCTGCGAGTTAGCCCAGCCACGATGCATCAGCTTTCTTTCGAGAGCTGCGACATCTGGCAGCAAGTCGCCGATCTCGTCACGTGCGCAAGCAAACCGCCGAATGTTGTCGACGTAGCACAACACGTCCACGTACGTCGGAACGGACGGACTAGCCTCTGCAGTGTCATCCATCTCTTCCTCGTTGGAAGTTCCCGCAGTGTGAGGACGCACAGTTTCGATAATGTCATCCAGCGACACTGCACTGCACACTGCAACGTCATCGTCGGCACCAATATAGTCCGCGAAGGATCCAGGCAGCTCCAGGTTGCCGAACTCTGGTTCGTCGTCAACAGGCACTGCAGCTTCACTGGTAGAACAAGCACCACTTCTATTAAAGCCGCAGTGCCTGAAGCAGTTGACAATGGTTTCTGGCGTGATTGCGTCTGATGCACTAGCAATATAGTGCATTACATCAAGCACAGAAAGCTTCTTATCTAACAGCTTGCGTTCCATGCCCGCCAGCCGACGCTGCACCAGAAACTTCCGATATTTCTGCTTCATGCACTTGATGTGCTGCAGCTGGCTAGTGCAGTTGGGGGGCAGAAATGTAACTTTCACATTTCTCAAATGCAACGTATCTAATGGATGGCATGGCGCATTGTCAAGCAGAAGAAGAATCTTTCTGTTTTTAGCCCCCATTTTTGAGTCCAGCTGCTGCAGATATATTCAAAACATAGCAGCCGTCATCTAGGCTTTCCGGTTGAACATGTACTAGCACGGCAGCCTTTTCAAATTCTTGAAGCATCGCGGCTTCGCAAACTTGCCGATCACAAGGGCAGGAAGCTTTTCTGAGCAGTCTTCATTAGTGCAAAGCAATACAGTAAGACGCTCTTTGCTTCGCTTACCCCCGTGACAGCTCTCTCCTTTGAATGTTAATGTCTGCTTTGGCTGCATATTATAAAATAATCCAGTTTCGTCCGCAATGAACACGTTGAACGGCTTGTATTGCTGTATCGGTTTCGGCAGCAATGCAGTCCACTTTTCGACAATGTCGGAGCTGACTGACGAGCTCTCTCCACAGCAGCGGCTGTACACAACTCGTCACGCGTTTTGAATATCGCGGCACACAGCGCGAGGCCGCCATTGGACGGCGGTGCGCTCCACGCTCCTCCCCCTCCTATCTCTCCGGCAAAAGAGCGAAGCCTCGGACGTCGCGATCGAGTTTTTCTGCGTTTCTCTGCATTTTTGCGTCATGGCAAGCCCGAAGAAGTGCAGTTCAGATAATCGAAAGTTCAGAACTTGCCACAAGTATCGAAGGAAACGGCGTCGGACGCTTCGCAAAGCGACAGCGAACGACGATGTCGCCCCCGACCAACGCCCCGACGCTCCGACTTCGGATAGGCCTAACACCGTCACCGAACCCTGCGACAGTGGTTGTGAAATAGCTGCTGCCGTGGAATTCGTCAGTGCATCCCAAAGGAAGATTGGATTCTTCGAGAGTGAACGTAGACCGGTAGATGCTGCTACTGCGAACATGCTGCTTTGCGAAATCGATGCGCTGACGGAACTTGTGGCGGGTGCGCAATGCCCAACCTGCCGCGAACGGAAGCTCGGCGTGCGAGAGGCAGCTGGAAAGCGCAAAGGACTTTCGGCATTCCTCGAACTGTGCTGTCAAAATTCTGATTGCCCTGAATCTGCACTTTCGTTCACGCACACGTCGAGACGTACTGCTTCGGCCGGGGACCAAGGAACGAGCGCTCGCTTTGACAGCGGCAGCTCGCGTGACAGCTTTACTGTAAACGTGAAGGCAGTTCTGGCAGCACGCGCTATAGGCGCAGGCCACGACCAACTTTCACGATTTTGTGCGATTCTCGGTCTTCCGAGCCCGATGCATCACAAGACATTCAACGGCATTTGCAAGAAGCTCCATGGTGCGGCGATGACGGCAGTGAGCAAAAACTTGCACCAGGCACGAAACATCACGAAGGACGCAGTCGGCGGCAGAGATGTGCCAGTCTTGTTTGATGGCACCTGGCAGAAAAGAGGTCATAAAAGTCACAATGGAGTGGGCACAGTCGTGTCCCTGGACACGGGGCTCTGCCTCGATTTTGAAGTTCTTTCGAACTACTGCCATGCTTGCAGTATACACAGGGACCTTGGGGAGGATGAAGAGATATGGCGAGCTTTTCATCTTCCAGTTTGCCAAAAAAACACCGACTGCTCATCCCATGCAATGGAACCTGCGGCAGCTGTCAATATATGGCAGAGGACCTTGTCTTATGAAACTCCACTGCGATTCACCAGCTTCCTAAGTGATGGTGACAGCAAGGCCTACACTGCAGTCTGCGAGGCAAATGTATACTGTGACACCCCCATTGACAAAGAAGAGTGCACGAACCACGTTGCAAAGCGCTTGGGAACTGCCCTACGGAAATTGGCAACGCCACTGCCACGAGGCGAAAAACTGAAAGATGCGACAATAATAAAACTACAAACATATTACAAGATCGCCATCACGAGCAACAAGGACAGTGTCCGAAATATGTACACTGCCATATGGGCATCGTATTTTCATTGCTGCTCCAGTGATGGTGCCAGTAGCCACAACTTTTGCCCCGCGGGACCAAATTCGTGGTGCAAGCACAAGCGTGCGGAAGCACTGGGGGAGCCTGCACCAC